GAAGGATAATAATCCTTTCTCATTTATTGTGGTCATTAATTAGGGAGGAACATCAGAAAACACACTGGGGTGTAAATGCTCTGTATAATTATCTAAATGATAAAATTATTGCCAGGCATTTACAAGACACCATCAAGCAGGTAACCCAGCAGTGTGACTTTTGCCTCCAGACTAAACCCAAAATTATTCACAAAATAAAACTTGGTCAAATTGGAAGGGGCCATGRACCTGGACAGCAGTGGCAAATTGATTTCACAGAACTTCTAACAAAAGGGGGGTATCGATATTTATTGGTATTAACAGATACCTTTTCAGGGTGGCCAGAAGCCTTTCCCACCAGAACCGCYAAGGCCCGGGAAGTAACTAAAGTATTGCTACAAGAAATAATACCGCGCTTTGGGGTTCCAGCCACAATATCCTCAGACAGAGGACCCCACTTTATTGCAAGGGTGGTACAGCAAATCAGCTGCCAATTAGGCATAAAATGGAAACTCCACACCCCATACCATCCTCAATCAAGTTGTCCAGGTGGAAAAAAAGAACCATCTAATCAAGCAACAGATTGTGAGACTAGGGCAAGAAGTCCATTTACCCTGGCCCCAGTCTCTCCCACTTGCATTGCTACCAATTCGGACCAAACTCAGTACTAGAGAACAGTTAAGCCCATTTGAAATACTCTATGAGAATGGAGTATGGAGTACAAAAGGGAATATCTACCCAAGCTGGGGAAGAAATAATGACTACCTACATGGTGGCTTTAGGCAAGCAATTCAGAAAGATTGAAAAGCACTTGGCTGGAACCCGAAGTCAAGGTTTAGATGGTCCTGTGCATGATATTCAACCTGGGGATTATGTATATGTTAAGTCTTTTGCAGAAAAAAACTCTGGAGCCACATTGGGAGGACCATTTCAGGTACTCCTTACCACTTTCGAAGAATGCCTGGATTCATCATACCATAGTGAAAAAGGTTCATAATTCTCCATGGAATGTCACGCAAGTTCAACCAGGAAAATTATTTTTCTCACTATCATGATTATAATCCAGAAATGGGAGAGTACCTCTAGCCAGGGCAATACTGATTGGCCTTGGTCTCAAGGTGTCTGGCGGTATACTGGATCCATGGGGAGGTATTCTGATATGAAGGGTTTAAATCTGTTAAATGTGGTTATGCACGAAAATCAGGTATATGCAAGACAAGAATGAGAAAAACAAAGGCTGTGACAACTTTAGGGGATTGTAGGTGAGGTAATCAATATAGGATGCCAAATGGTTAAGGGGACTGCCTATGAAAAAGCAATCCAATTAAGTGTCTCAGCTACCCCTACTGATAAGCATGACAAAACTTGTACTAGTTCAAGTAAATTGGACTGTTGGTATACTTTCACATTAGTACAGACTGTTGAAGTGGTTTGTCTTTGGACCCAGGATACAATAGGGCTCTCATTCAAATTTAAAATAACTGCCATAGTTGGACCTGTTACAACCTATGCCAGCACTTAGGCCCAAATCCAAACCACACCACCTAAAGCTGAACCCAAGATTTATGAAACTGGCCCATATATAATAAGGAACACGGGTCAACAACAATTGTTTAACCCAGAGTGGTCTCTCAAGCATGTTGAACTGACAATGCAAATCAATGTTTCTGAAATTCAACCACCACGTTCTCCTTTCCTACAAACATCCTTCATGGGATGGATAATTTGGCTGAGGAAACAAGTGCCCTTCAGGAGTAGAACACGAAGGGACTTAACTGGAGTGTTTGGGACAGGATTAGGAGTTTTAAACGAAATTGACTCAGAGATATCAGTGAATAAATTAGCTACTGTAACTAGTGATTTGGCAAGATTAAGACAACCCCTGCAATCTTCTCTATTATCATTAGGGAGTGAACCTTGGCAAGTTTCAAAAGTGTCACCAAAATGGGAAGAAGTTGAAGAACAGGACCATGAATTAATAATAAATGCACTTGGTATAGTCCAGGACAATGTATCCTTAGCCCTTAGTTGTATAGAGGCACAAGTATGGACACAGTCAGCAGCTGCCTTAATTATAAGAGAAGGTAGTGAAGGCACTTTTCCTATTGAATTTTGGAAAATTGTTTGGGACAATGCCACTGATCTAGAAAGAAAATTTCAGTCTTGGTGGACCCTGGTAAACTTTACCTATGACCCTATTGCTAATATGGCCACAGCCTTTGTGCTCACTATACGTAATGCTACGGTCTACATTATCCACTCCATTGTTTCACTAGGATTAAACCATGAGAAAACAGTCCTCTATCCCTCTGAGCATAGGGTATGGGCCTGGATGGTAGAGMAAAAGTGGCAAACTGTGAATTTAGAATCCTGTATTACATGAGAACAAGGGTTTATCTGTGAAAGCAATACAACTGATGCCCAGCACATATGCCTTGATATGGGGCAAGGTATTTGCCACTTTGAAGTCCATTCAGATTCCAGTCAAAAGACTGTGCTTGTGTATATTGGTCAGGGTTGTGTGTGCTTAAGGACTGTTTTGCTTCTGTGAAGTTAGATAGTGATAACATAATCTTAAATGTTAAGAATTATTCTAATTTTTGTATCTTTAATTTTGTTAAGATCATTGGGTGTGACTTTTTGTATTTAGCTTCAGTTGTATCCCACCAGTTGATAAAGTCTAATTACACTATGTACCACAAGTTGTCACCCATACCTATTGGAATGAACCTCACATTAATAAGACAATTAGTAAAGCATCAAGACCTGATTGAAATTTTGAAAGAAATCCAGGAAAATGGAAAGAAAACTTAAATTACTATACATCATGACTCAGAAAGGATAAGCAGAGCCTTGCAAAGGGCAAGACAAGATGCAAGTCATCACTGGTGATGTGCTCTTTGGGTGGTCACCTACCGCAACTGGTATTCTAAATACACTATGTCACCCTATTATAGTTCATTTACTATTAGTTAGTGTTAGCTTTGTTTTATCTTGTGTTATTTGTTTGGAATTGGAGAATGTTACAACATTCTCTGTCAAAAGCACGTGGTAAGGCATTGAGAGCACCTTTCGTAGAATTTGCTAGAAGAAGAATGTATGTATCAGCAAAAGAATTTACTAATTTTATAGAATAGGGGGGATTGATGCAGGGAAGTTAGAAGTTACAGGATAACTTGTTAGAAACTGCTTGCTAAAAAGTATATATCGCTAACTGCTTGCTAGACAGTGTATATTGCTTACTTAATGTTGATTGTATTTGTCAAAGCAGAATGAGAAGTAAAAGATTATCGGCAAAAGCAGAGACTGTGACCCAGCTTGTGTCGGTGGAACCCCTACACTGGCTAAAACCAGAGTTGTTGTTTGGACTTGGGCCAGGGACTCAGAGAGCATGTGCAAGACAGAAAGGTGAAAAGGTCAAGACAAGAGGATGAGAATTTTACTTCCTCCTGAGACTCCTGGAGCCCACTACCAAATAACACTGTGCAGGCGTGGGCACATGGAAATGACTTTTGAACTCATTATAATATGAAGCAGGAATAGGTCATGCATATTTATAGGCAAATTTCAAAATTGGTGAATGTGTAACATGTAACCAGATATATACCAAGTGATACCCGTGCTGGGGTGTGCGCAGCTTTGAGGAGTACCTCCCGCTCACCCAGTGCTGCAATAAACATACCTACTTCACAACTTAAAATTATATAAGTTGCAGAGTCTTACTCAGATCATTTTTGGATCAAAACAGCTTATCCCAAAATTCCCTCCTCATCGAACACAAATCCTGGGCAAACATTTTGCAGAAAAGAGATTCCTCTTTCACCAAGAGCTTCTTTCACTGAAAGAAGATTTGACCTGCAATAGTGTTTTTCCATGCCAGCTTTCCAAGAGCTTCAACAGCAGCACCTTTCCTGGAGATCACTGGTGTCATCAGAAGCAAATTCCCCATTAACCATTGTGTGCATATGCAAGAAGCAGTTCCTGTCATACCAGARTTCCTGGCCCCATTATTCTTGTGTTTCCCAGGACTCGCTCTGCTTCTCCTAGTGCACTTCCTTATGGTTGAGGGGTATACATGGAATTCAAATAGCCAAAGCCAAGGCTAACAACATAAGAAGGTCACAATTACCTGTGAGAAACTATTTCTCCTTTGAGATTCTGGGCTTGATCCTCAAGAAGGATCTAAACATATGAATCTGAAGCACTAAAATATATTGCTTTTTACTTTAACAAAAGGATGAGCTTTGTAGGCCCAAGAGTCTTCTAGTGCATAACTCCTCTCCCCTTTTCCTGCAGAGTGATGACCATCCTTGTCTTATCCTTTGAAGTGGTCTATCTTCTTGCCTTTGCTCTTGCTCATCTACTAGTGCATGTTTGACTAGTTATTTTTGCTCTCAGATGGTCAAACTTTTAAAGTATTAGAACAATTATTTTCAGCTTTTACTTAACCACAAAGGTTGCTGCTTCTTTTTCAGATCTGACTTCTGGAAAACACTGGTCTGATTTTTTTCGCTGAAGTATTTTCATTTCTGCCACCCTGAAAAATGACATCCCCTCTCCTCATGTCTTCCCTTTTTCCAAGAAAATCTCCCGTGCCTTTCAGCATGACGCAAATCAGATCTTTCTTCTGTCACTGACGAAGCGTTCCTCTCCAGGTGCCAAGTAGGCTGATAGCCTCAGACTAATGGAAAGCGGGACTGATTCCTCCATGTCTGCCCTAAGCTTCTCTCTTTCTCTCTTCGAGCCGCCGACCAGGGGAGGGGGGCGGAGCTGGGCGAGAACGAGAGTAGGTGGAAAATTGAGAGAACGCCCCAGCTGACGGACAGTTTCGTGGAAGAGAGGGACAGCCAGGCGTAGCAACGGGGCTGCGCGGGTGACGCGGCGGGAGGAGCCGGGCGGCGGGGCCGGGCGCGGCGCCGAGTGGACAGAGCGCGCCGCTAGGGGGCGCCGGCGCCACGGGGGCCAGGGCGGAGGGGCGCGCGGTGCCCGCGCGGGGCGCGGCGGGGCCGGGCCGAGAAGCGACGCGGGGCGGGCACAAAAGCGCCGCGCCCGGCCACGGCCACRCCACCTTGGAGTCGGCGTTGGGGGCGACGTGGGGTCGGCCGCCCGGGGTTCAGCGCTTAGCGGCTCCGACAGGGGCGGCTGTTTCGGGACTCGCAGGATGCCGGAGGCGCGGCAGCGCGGAGCGCAGCTGCTGTGGGTTTTGCTGTGGGTGACCCTCGTGCGTTCCTACAACGTGGACGTAGGTCGCCCCGTGATTTTCCGGGGTCCCAACGGTTCCTTCTTCGGATACTCGGTGCTACAGCACTACCACGATAGCACGCGGTGGTGAGTAGCGCGGCCCCTGCGTGCCCAAGGTGGGAGGGGGCGCGGGTGGCGGCGGAGATGCGGCCGGGCGGTCGCTGCCGGGATATCCATCCCTCGCGGCAGCCGCATCTCCCGCAGCTGGGCAGCGGGACCCTAGCCCCCTCGCAAGGGCTGCGAAGAGGCGCCTCCGCCCTGGCTGCGGGGGGTCTCCCCGCACTCCTCCCTTCGTGTGGGTGAGGTGGAGTTAGAGCTGTGGGCTCCGCGCCCCTTGTGTACGAGAGGGGCCCCGCGCTGGGAGGTGTTTTAACACGGGAATGTCCTTTCCGGGCTGGCAGCCGGCCCTCGGCATCGTGACCTAACTGTCCTCAAGCGCCAGCCGGCCCGCGGCCGTTATCTCGACTCTGTGCGCGGTCCCTCATCCTCGCGGGATATAGTTAGCAGCTCATCGTCTTGACCAGGTACGAAAAAGCGCACGGAATACGAAAGATGATGGATTTTGCCGTGTTAATGGGAAATGTTTCTAATAGCGGTAACCTCCAGCGGGAGAAGCGCGCTCAGCATCGACAGAGCTGCACTTTGCCTCGCAGGAGACAAAATTCCTTCGGAGGCTAAACAGACTCTTCCCAATCGGAGAGTAACTTAAAAAAAAAAAAAAAAAAAAAAAAAAAAAAAAAAAAAAAAAAAAAAAAAAAAAAAAAGAAAGAAAAAAAAGGCTGGATTGAAAGTTTATTCTGCATCCAAAAATTGGTGAAAATGGCAAGTTTCTTGTTTTCCTGTTGATTGAAAAGAGCATTGAACCATACTCTTGTCTGGGTTAGAGGCTCTTTGTTAGAATTAAAAGTGATTTCTCTTAATTGGACCTAGTTGATGTCATCTGGTGCACTTCTAATGTGACTAGGAGCCTCTGCTAGCAGTAAGTATCCACAAAGCATGTCTTTATCTTTTTATGCTTAGATACTCAGCTATTGGTGCTGGAACTTTGGTGCACTGTGGTATAAATAAATGTATTCATTCTGGCATACAGTTCTTTAAAAATGAATTTCTTTTACACCCTTTAGTTCAGAAGTAGAAGCTCTGCCTTTCTCCATAGTGGCTTTCATGGAGAATTCATTTTTAAAGACTTAGAAGAAGATTTCATAGAGGAAAGCCCTCTGGGAGAAGAAAAGCTCTCAGTTTAAAGCAATGCTTAACTTMGGTCAGGAACCAGTGAAGGATGCAAAGGCTGAAAGGAACTTGTATTCAGTACAAGTTGCTGGGGATTTGCAATGGTGTGAATAAAGTGCTGATATAGTGCAGTATAGTGGGATGAAAGGGGTAGAATTTGTTGTTTCTTATGTAAGTATCTTTCAATCTGATTAATAAGATGAATTATATTCAGATAGCACCTGCTAGTGTWATATTTTTAGAAGAAAAGTAGACTAGGGAGGAGTCTCCCAGATACCCCACTTTGTTTAGAAATATGCTGGACTTTAAATGTTGAGCATCTGTCTGAAGGCAGCAATCTGTTAGAAGTCTGGTGCTCAAAATGGAAATCTCCAGTTGCATAAAATCCTTGTTGTTTTTTTTTTTTTTTTTAATTGAGTTGTTTTGTGGTTCCTTGGCTATGGCACCCAGAAGAAAAAAACCCCAAACTAATAAACACCTAAGTTCATCAAATGTTTTAAAATAAAGAAGTTGTTAGGCCTAACATCCGGAAGGGTTAATGGCAGCTCGGTATGGTCAGCATCAGCACTGTGAGAAAGCATGAGGGTGGGATTGCCACCATTGATGGGAAAAGCTCATCTTTTCATTGTGGGACTAGGGAGTTTGCTTTCATGGGTACTTCAGAATCCTGTTCCCAACAGACACTGGGGTCCAAGTTTAGGAGATAAGTATTTTTACGGTCTCCTTGGTTTTCTATGTGCAGTTTTGCTCTTAATGTGTCCTGAAGGTCCATGTGTCCATGAATTCTAAACGTCTGTAATGAAACTCTCTTAAAAGTATGTGCATCCTTCTCCAGTTTTCTGAACAAGCTCCTCTTAAAAGTCAGGGTTATTGTTTGGTTTTGTGTGTTAAGTTCTTTTTTCTTTCTTCTTGTGACTTTTATATGCCCAAGGATGAGATATGACTTCAGTTTTCTCATGTCTGTGTGGTCTGTACATTGCAATGGGAACTAGTTAAAATAATTTTAAACAGTGATATTCTGGGCATCCAAGACTTGCCTGGTGAGCTTAGTGCTATGTGAGCCTGCAGAAATGTAATTGATCATATCTGAGGTTGATAGGGCTCCTGCCCATCTAAAATTGTTTAATATGTTAACATGCTCTCAAGCATTTGAAAGTGTTCAGGGAATTCTTGCTCTTTATTGCTTGAGGGCTGGATACTCAACTAATGTACTTCTGATCATGAGCACTGTGTTTTTCTCAGTAGCCTGTCCATGTGCTGATGTGTGTGTGTATGTATATATATATATATATATATATATATATATATATGTGGTAACTGATTCATGTTAAGATGGTATCTCTCATAGCCACATCATCCATGTTTCGACTAATTGCTTTCCAAGACCACAAAGGCACCTGTGTGTATTGCTTACCCTAGACTTGCCGGTTTCCAGTAAACTGCTTCAGGGTTTGATGATTTTTCAGGATTTATATGAGCCAAATATTCATGTTGAATGAAAAAAAAGGGGGGGAGGGTGGGGATGCTTGATATGAAATCTTACATCAGATAAATATGAATAGTCAGGCTGCTGCACACATAGATTGTAGTGGAATATGGATGTTCAGCCACCACTACAATAGTGGAGCAAGTCAGTGCCTTTGAAGTTTTCTGCAGTAGTTGATTGCAATGATGGTTCCATTAAGCTGGTTTTGCATGTTTTTCTGTCTCAAGAAACGTTTCTCATCACTGATGTCCTGAGGTTATGGAATTTCTGACTGTTCCTCCTTTTCCTTCTGTAAGTGGTGTCAAGGTTTTACTCTGGCCAAATGCCAGGCCCCCATGACAGCCATTCACTTGCTCTCTGGGCAGAGGAGATGGAAAAAAAAGAATGAAGCAGTCATGAGTTGTGATAAAGACCTGGAGGAAACACTCCAAGGGCAAAACAGGCTCAAATTAAAATTTCAAAGTGAACTTGTTACTAAAAGAGACAGAGGAGGATAGTGAGAAGAAGCCCTTAAAGACATTCTTTTCTTCCCCCAACCTCCTCCCTCCTTCCCCGTGGGGGTTTTGGTCAGTTCGTTACCCAGATCTTCTTCCATTACTCAGGGAGAGGAGTCCTTCCCCTGCTGCGCTGTGGGGTCCCTCCCGCAGGAGACAGTTCTCATTGAACTCCTCCAGCATGGGTCCAAATCTCATGAGTTGTAGTCATCCCAAAAGTGGTGCAATGTGAGTTCCTCCCATGGGCAAACAGTCCTCCCAAAACTGCTATGGTGTGGGTCACTTGTCCACTGGGTGCTGTACTCCAAGGACTCGCTGCTCCAGYCTGGAAGCAGGGACTCCATCTGTCCACTGGGTCTCCCACTGGACCACAGCCTCTTCCAGGTATTGACTCACTCCTGTGTGGGCACCTCCCCCATGGGCTACAAGTGGATTTCTGCATCCCCTGTGGACCGCATGAGCTGCAGGTGAACAGCCTGTTCCACCATGGTCATCACCATGGCCTGCAGGGGAAATTCAGCTGCAGTGGCTGGAGCACCTCCTCCTTTTCCACTGACCTTGGTGTCTCCATATTATTCCTCACATATTCTCACCTCCTCCTCTTCTCTGGCTAGGAAAAAAACTGTGTGCTTATTTGTTGTGATTTCTTCTTAAATATGTTATCAAAGAGGTGTAACCAACCTCTCTAATTGGCCCAGGCTTGGCCAGCAGGATGTCCATCACCTTCAGAGCCATCAGGGATTGGCTCTGCTGGACATGGTGGAGGCTTTTAGCAGCTTCCCACAGAATCCGTCTTTGTGGGTCCCCCATTACCAAAAACCAGGCCAAGCAAAACCAATACAAGTGGCTGTAAGTCCTAACAGGTTTACTCAGGTACCCATCATTGCTCTTTTCAAGAAACCAGGTGGCTGGTTGCATTTGGGGCAGGAACAAGCTGAAGTGCTTATGCTCTCTAGATATAATTTTGAAACTTGGAGTAAAAAAATAATAAAAAAAAAAGCAACCAAGAAATGACCCCAGACAATTAGAAAAAAAAGCAATTTTGCCCCAATAAAAAGTGTTAATAATTTGAAATCTCTGATTTTATCTTTTAAAATGAATAAGATGTTACTTTATTCTCTCTCCTTTTCCCTCCTTGTGCTCCCTTCTTTTTGACACTCTCAAATCTCTTGGCAAGTCCAGGGTAACCATTTTATCTTGTCTGGCATAATGATCTGGCACGCGAAAGTAATGAAGTCAGTATAGTTGCATGGTGTCCTGCTGCAAGTTTTACAATAAAGAAAGAGTCTGGTTTCTGTGCTGTTGCATCATTCCTTCAGCCCTGCTCTTCCCTGGTTTGCACTTCTGCTGAAATAATGAAGGCTGATCTGCAGCTTGGGCTGATGCATATGTGTTGCTAACATGTCATGTACTTATGTGCAGCTAGAAGGAAAGTGGTTCAAAAATCTGCCGTAATAAACTTTCTAACACAATTTGAATCATTAAAAAGCAGGCATTCTTTATCTGTGTGCTACACACAGCAGATCTCTCMTTGTTCTGCATGTATCACGAGACTTTCCAAGAAGGTATTTATCATAAACATACATATCCATTAAAATGTGTTTTTTATCTAATGCATAAACAGCACTTTTGTAGAACTATTTTGCATGCATCTGACTCCTTCTGACAGTTCTTTTGTGGTTCTGGAAGTTTATTAAGAGGGGTCTTTGGTGGTCATATGTTCTGAATGCTTCAATATAAAGGTAACCTTTCCTTGAACATTTTCTTTGGGCAAGCGCTATTGCTTCTTGTTACATAACTTGCCAAAAAACCAATGTAGGCCTTGATCTGTTTCTCCACTTGCTCCAGTCACATTTATCACCCTGTTGCATACCTTTATGTTCTTTTCTTTTTTTTTTTTTTTTTTTTTTTTTTTTTTTTTTTTTTTTGCCAGCTTAGTTCTTAAGCTCTGTTCAGCAGCTTTGGGGGAGTGAAAACTTTTTGTTCTCTATTGTCTATCAAAGTTGTGGGAACAGACTGACCCAGTGGAGACTGGGTGTTGTGCTGAACAATCTAAGCAGTGGTGCTGTACGTCTTGCCGTGGAATTTCAAGGAACCTGAGTTTGCTGTCGTTGGTCATGKATCATCCATCCCTCCTGCTTCTTGCTCTGCATGTTATGGATGAAACGCGGGTTTTTATTTCAAGTAACTGAAAAGTTTTTTGCAAGTAATAGAGACCTATCTAAAGGGAAGAAACTCAACTGGGATGTGATGGTAGGACACCATTCTGTGGTATTACTTTTGAAATGTGCTGTGATATGCGAGGATATTTAAAGACATTTTTCCCCTGCCACTTAACATTGCAGTGAGGTGAGGTACCTACAGTCCTCAGTCTTTAAACTGTGATTGTCTAATMACTGCTGATGTGCTGTAGGCTGATGGTTAATGTGGTTGGCATCTCTCCAGCCATCTGTCAGCTCTGCACTTTTGCTCACTATTCCTTCTGTTAAATGCAACATTTTATTTCCAAATCTGTGTGTCCTGTGGGTCAATCACTAGTGAAGTGATTGTWACTATCCTTCAGGACATAATTTTAAGGAGGTGTGAATTTCTTTGTGACCAAGAAAGCTTCTTGTCACCCATTAAAATTGGCTGCTGCAGCTCCTTCAGTGGGGTGGTTTCCAGCCATGCATAATTTTCATAGATGAAGACGTTTGTCCTTGATTGTGTGAATATGAGTGCAAGAAGACAAAGTTAAGTGGCCTTTCTGCTTACTGCTCCCTATTTTGGTTTAGACCCCAATAGTCTTTTCACAGTGCCAGTGCAATGAGGCTGTTGCTTACAGATTTTTGTGCAGCAAGGAGAAGTGACCCTAAAATGTCCCCAAACTCCACTCCTTCTGTTCTTGCTTCTGTTCCTTTCTTCATAGAAAGTAACCTCTTTCTCTTGGTGGTGTTTCCGGTCCAAGGTATCTTCATGCAGCTGCTCATTAACATTCTAGGGGCTTCCCACAGAATAGCATAGTTGTGGTGAGAACCTGCTCTCATCAGTGATCTCTGCAGAGAGTGTTACTCGCATAGTAAGCCTTTTGGGAAAAGGCTGGAGGACTGCCAGTGCTTGCTTGCCGACAGCCCAAATAGTCATATAGTAGTATTGGAAATTTGTACAGCAAAAACCAGTCATTTTAAACAAGAGCTGGTTAAATTATTTTGAGTACTTTGGAAAGATGTACTTCTGCTAGTTGTATTTATATCTTCTGTGTTTATGCTAGGCAAGACTCCACAGCACTGAAATGAGAGAAGACTGTATTCGGCTCTAGGGCTTTGTTTTGAATTTCTGATTTGATATGGTAGCACAAGAAAAACGCTTTGTCTGATTGCAGTGCTGTTTCATACACATTGCAAAAGATTTCAAAGGTGTTTTAAAGGAAAGAGGAGATACAAGACCGGTGTTTGTTTTGCTCCAGGAGTCCCAAAGTATTTAGATGAAAATGAGTCATCTATCTAGGTCCATTGAAAAGTCTCATGGTTGTTGAACAGGTGACTTTCTTACAACAGTTAAGCCACTACATACAGAAGCTGGTGAAAGAGTAAGCAAGTCTTTTTGTTGACGAAGGAAAGTCTCAAACCACTGAATAAAATTAAAGTAATTGGTTTATGATAAATACCAACCAAAAAGCATATGAACCAACAGAAAACCATCCCTGAAGGTAACCATCTTAGGGCGTGGGTGAGAATGGACCATACCAGATTGAACAGGAGCTCTGCGAAAGTTTTAACTGCTGGGTTCTAGGTGCAGGAGTTTGAACCTGTAACTCTTTAAGCTAGTAATATTTTTTTTGTTAGACCTTATGAATGTCAGTAAGTGATTGTTATGCATTTACCTGTGTAAATGAAATGACTGGCATTTGGTTTTATATCTGCTGCCTGCCTAGTGGAATTTCCATTTAGAGCTATTATTTCAAGCTCTTTTGCACTTGCTCCCCAAGTGTGCAGCCTTTGTAGGTTTTAGCAATTTAAGTATGTTTGACACTAATTCTTCTCACTTGTGAAAATATGATGTATGTTGTAGAGTGCAAGAGTGCAATTCCATCAGAATTCTCCAAATGACGCAGTTTAGCCCATGAAACTTCAGAGAAAATGATCACTTAACTAACATAGGGGTTTCTCATTGTTTTGTACATGTGTCAAGTGCCACAGAACAGTTTTGTTGCATCCAGGGTCCAGAGGAGGGTGTCAGAAGTAGAGATGTGCTGCTGTTCTGTATAGATGAGGTACAGGGGAAGCTCTTCCAGATGGCTCAGGTTGACCCTGGACAAGTGCACACCTTGTGCTTTGGGTCTCCCTGTGTGTACTGGGATGGTGATGATGGGTGGTGGTTGGTATGGAACTTTGTAGGGTAAAGGAAAATTTATTTAAAATAGGGAAAGCAACCGCTTTGTTGTTGGTGCTGGGCTGTCCATCTGTGAATGGAAGAGTTGTGTATGCAGACTGGCTTTGCACCACTAGCTCTTTAGTGGCTAAACCAAGAGCAGTGTCCCCTTCATCAGCTGCTGCCTCCCAAATAGCAGCCTGGGTGTGCACAGGGGGCTGCTGGAGCCTTAGCCTTTTAGAGATGGCTGGAACTAAAGGCGACCCTAGGCTTAGATTTCATGAGGATGTTTTTATATGCAGAAGCTCTGTGTGACAGTGCAAGAGCATTGCAGAACTGTTACTTAGTTATCTGGTGTTCCCCACTGCTCTGCTCCGAGTTGCCCTCCTCCTGCTTAGCTTCCCTCCTGCTCCTCACCTGCCCAGGTCTGGGGTCACAACTGCTTGAGAAAGATTGTCCCTTTAATGAGGAGGCAGTGAAAGGACTCCTTTAAACCTTGTGCTTCCCCTGTAATCCTCCTCAAAAAGCATCCCTTAGGGCATGAGAAGATAGATGCTGACTTCAAACAGCTGAACTAGATCCTAGTACAAGTGATTAAAAAGTACTTACCATCTTTCAAAGATAACCCTATGGTCAGAGCAGGCCATTGGCTTCCCAGAAACACTAGATGTCGTGTGGGATAAGTAGTCCAGGTAAAGTCTTCACAGCCTTAAGGATAAATATTGGTTGATAATAATGTATTGTGGAAGAGATTTGCTTGTATTGTTGGTTGGGCTTTTTGCTGTTGTTTTTAAAAGAAGTAATTATATAAAGTGTTATGAGAATGGGGTGCCTCCACTTTCTAAACAAGCTTACAAATCTTGCCTGGCTGGCAAGAATGCAGGTTGAGATTTTTGTCGTGAGTGTGTGTATCAATTCTGGATTGATAGGGAGAAAACTGAGAAAAAAATAGATGCGGATGCTGCTGTACTTCCTAATGCTTCCCTAAATGCTTTTGAGAGGTGTACGTTGAGGGTGTGTTACTTTAAATGTGTTAAAATCCTAATGGAAATTTAATTTGTTAAAAGTATTTGTGCCTTCACTGTGGAAAAATGCCTTTATTGTGTATGGTGTTTTCAGTTTGTGAATCAGTGTCATTGTTTTAGAAGGTTGCTGAGAAAAGTGCTTTTGCTGAGGAAGCCAGCCAATGTGAGCCTTGGTGGTGTTTGGTTTTTTTTTTTCCTCCTGAAATTAATCACTTGTTGCTTTGCTTTTGGTTTCCAGGGTCTTGGTTGGTGCTCCAAAGGCAGAATCTAAGTACAGCACTTCTGTTCAGTCCCCAGGAGCAGTGTTTAAATGTCGAGTCCATACCAACCCTGACAGAAGATGCACCGAACTGGATATGGGGAGAGGTGGGTAGTTATGATGCTTTGGGACAGCAGGAGGCAGCCAAAAAATATTCAAACCACATGGCTAGCAATCCTCCTGCCAATTTCAAATTGTCCCCAAAACATTGAGAAAGAGCCATCAGCCTTTCCTGTTGGATTTTGAGCACTAGTAGCAAAGGTGTCATGCTCCCTTCAGCATTACAAAATAACACCCCGCTGGTGCTGGTGTCCTCCCAGGGGCCCTGCTTGCTCTTTCCAGGGAGTAACCAGGTAAATATGGATTTTTCCTTGCTTAACCTGAGCAACTGCTTTTCTTCACCTGCTTCATTGTGACTTTTCAGCATGTTGCTGTCTATATAAGTGTTTTAGGGTGCTTGCTTCAGTACTTGCTCCAGCGAGTGCTGAAGAGAACATGGGATGACCCCATGCAATGCAGTGATGGGCTCGTGATATGTGGCATTATTAGTAATGTGATGTATGAGTTCCCTTATAATGCAGCAAATAATTTCTTGAGTTTACTTTGAGTGCTAAAGTGTTCTCAGTGAGAGACATGTTTGTATGCTTTTGCATGTGATCAGAATTGACTTCAGTTACTCTGATGTACTATCTGAGGCAGGGGAAGGTGGAGGTCTAAAGTAAAATTCTGATTTAAAACTTCATGCTGTATAATGATGGTAAAGATTAAAGCCTTTTAATATTTTGGTTTTCTTGGTGATATGTTGCTTTCTCTGCATAGTATTGTTCATCTTTTTATACTTAGTATATTCTAAGTAGAATTTCTGTTTGTGAAGCTTACATGTGTTAAAACGGTGTTTTAACACAGGCAAGCTGAGTGGTTTGTCCTGCTGCCATATTGTAAATTGTCATGGATTCATGAATGCTGCCTGACATTACTACAGATTTCAGCCTCATTTTTTTTAAGTGTCCCTGATCTCATTTTCAAGATTGCATTCAGGAAGCCATCTGATACCTCTCCCATTGACCTGATGGGAGTAAGTAGAGCTGTGGGCATAGTGTAATAGCTGCTAGCTGTTGGGGATGGGGTATGTCCTCAACTGTGTATGTGTGCCGTGTTGCTTAAGAGTAAAAACATTGTCAGTATTAATGCATTCAAGAACTGATAATCAGGATGCAGAGGGAAAGAAAAGCATCGTCAGATGTTTGATGTGAAATCTCTTGTGAGTATTCTTGGTGAGTATTTAGAACTCATGTCTCCTTGCCTTTCTGCCTTTCCCTTTTATTCTGCAGGCAATTCTCGGGGCATGCTCTGTGGAAAGACCTGTAAGGAAGACAGAGATGATGAGTGGATGGGTGTGAGCCTGGCTAGACAGCCAAAGGCTGGTGGAAGTGTGCTGGTAAGTTCCTGCTTTTCTTTGATCTCATTAAAACTGTGTCTGCTGCCTGGCTAAGCACATCAGGATTGTGTTTGGCAGTGACAGGTTAAGTCCAGAGTAAGAGGCAGCAGATTCTGTTTATTCAAGCACAAGTGAGCCCCAGCCRGAAGGCATGATTTGTAGAGGGAGGATTCCAAGCCATCACACCTGACTCGCATCAGCCAAGTACTTCCTCCTAAATCTGAGGGTTTATATCTTTGAACTGAATAAATATAATTTGTCTTGGAAGTACCTGCTAGTTTGTTCTTTTTGTAGTTTGCCTATGTTTACTTAGGAAATATGAATGCATATATTTTCCTTAAACATATTTATTTGGTCTSAAAATTTACAAGGAATAATGTACGATGAGTCTTTGTGGCCATGTTTTTCATTTATTTATATTAATGTCCTCTTAAGGTAGAAGAGTTGCCTTCATTGTGTGTAGATTGACTTATTGTCTTCAGTGGGGTTACTATGCACAAGAAGAAGAGCAGATGAGATCCTTAGGATTTGCAATATTTTTTTTTCAAAACTTTTCCTATGTTAYTGTAAAGAGACTTGGGCAAAAACCTTTCTAGAAACATGTGTGTCTTACATTCTGATCAATAATTGCTTGTATATACTCCTGTCCATTGGGAAAATGTCAAATTCTGCAGCTGTGGCACAGGGAAGTCCAGGGAAGCCCTGGCTTGGCTAATCAAGGTGGACCTCATCCCTGGAAGGTTTGCAGACTGAGGCAGTCAGTGGTAAACTATAGTGTGCCTGAATACACATCAACATGCAGGTATGGAAAAGTGATCATTAACCCAAGTCTTAACAGATAAGTTAAGTGTGCCCAGAATTGCTAGACTGAGCCCATAGCCTCCAGCTGATTTTAAACATACTTCTTATCCAGCAGCAGTTTTTTCTCCCTTTAAATTGTTTTATCTTTCTTGGTCTCTGTACCTCACTCTTGAGCAAAGCCACCTGCCTATGATAAAATGCTGCTGCTCTCCCTGCCTCCATTATACTGTACTCTTTTGAGAGAGATTATTAGGTTAATTTATGTGAGTGTCTTGCAGTGTCTTCTGAGATATAAAATATCAAGGAATTTACAGTGCCACAATCCTTTATCTATCTAAAATTTTGAAAAATACTCTTAGTCTGTTTCCATTTGGATTTATATCCAGAGTTGGGATTGACTTGACTGGCACTTTAATAGTATGTGTCTTTATGGCATTATCTTTGCAAGGGTTGTATATGTGTGTATTTGTCCTCACAGCACAGATCCATCAGGAGAGAAACTATTTCCTGGTTTTGCTGAAAAGGAGCATTTCACATGTTGATTGTCTGTTGCTGTTAGAAGTTTGAATGAGTAGTGCATGGGGATTGAGATCATGACTGAGCCTCCTTAAAATGCACATGGGTGTCTCCAAAGCTGCTCTTTGTATTACTTCTCACATGCATTTGGCTGCAGAGCAGAGTGCCCTCAGTAGGATCCTTTGCATTACAGGTGGCAGCCTGCAGCATGCCCTGTGGTGCAAAACTTCCTGCAGCCTCCAGCACCCCTCACTGTTCCTCTGTGATAGCCATCTTTGGGAAACAGGTGCCTCTCCTTGAGCACATGAAGTTAGGAAAGCAATAAATATCAAACTCCAAATGCAGCACTGCTAGCAGTAGAGCAGGCTTTTGCACAACTGATTGTGCTCTGTGAGAGCAGTATTACCTATTCATGTCTTTCTGGATGTAAATATATTGAAATCCGTTGATGTATGAATTGAATTTTGAGCTTCCCAGTGGCTGATAGACTTGCCAGGTCGTGTAGTGGACAGGTAACAGAGCTGCCTGTTTTGTGGATGGATATTATTTTTAACCATGTTGAGATGCTCCAATGGTCAGCTCTGAGCTGCTGAGGCAGAAATGTGGGGTAGTACAAAGAAATAGAAGACAGAGGGTATCTCATCTGGGGAGGATGCGGTCAAATATGGGGTTCATGAAGGGGGTTGATGCAAAGGCTCCAGGAAAACCTGAAAGCATGTGGAGGAGATAATTTGTCACACATCTACAGTGACTTCAGTGTAGCTTCAGACTAGCATGAGATAATGGTCAGGCATATGCTAAATTCAAGGCCCTTGCTGTTCCACATTTTCTTTCCTTTTATTCCATATAAACCCTGAGCAGAAGGCAACTTGTAGTTTGGCTGTCAACAATGCAGTGTTAATTTTTGGAGCGAATGGGTTTTGGAAAGGTGAGAACCAGGCTCTACATTGCTTGCATGTGTGCCTGTGTGTGGCAGCTGTACTGAGCAAGTGTCCTGGCGAGTCTGGTTTTTCAGGATGATTGCATTCTTCTCTGCAACTCATCTGCACCTTGGCTGATGTTGCCGCTCTTGTTGCTACAAAATCCTTGGAATTTTCACTTAARTTCACTATTCGCTACCAGTAAGAAAGGCTCAGCACATCTGTCACCAGAATCACTGCATTTCCCAGTGGAAACCAACCTCTGACTCACACGCACATTTTCTGGCAGTTTAACCTTCTAATATAGTCTTAGTAACCTAAGGATTCTTGGTTTCTATTCCTGTTTTTCACTTTTTTTCTGGGTTGTGCTAGTGCATCTTTAGTTAGACAAGCTTTTCTGTCTGTGAGGATTCTTGCCCAGTCAGAGATTTTGAAGTCTCCAGCATGGGCTCTGAGGCCTCTTGTTTTCCCTAGTTGTACACATGTTAAGTCTGAGATCTGAGCTGTGAGGTCAGACAATGTCCTGGGCTGCAGAAGCTAACAGTGAGAAGGTACTTTATGTAGAAACAGTGAAAGGTAAGGGGGAGTACAAAGGGTTTGTAGGGTAAAGGTGATGCTGAGTCCTGTTCATGCATGCTCTGTCTTGGTCAGAGTGCTCTCCTGTGACTCTCGGCCAATAACCCATGTTATGTGATCTGTTTAGGCATGTGCACACCGCTGGAAAAATATCTACTATGAGACAGAGTACATCTTGCCCCATGGCTTCTGCAACATCGTTCCTCCCAACCTGCAGTCCAAAGGGAGGAAACTCTTGCCCTGCTATGAAGGTAAGGAGTTGGGCCAGGACTGGGGCTTGTGTCCCTTGCTACATTTCTACTATTACTGTAACTACTGATTTTTTTGTAACATGGTGGCTGCCTTGTGACGTAACAGTGGTGGCAGCTGAGTTTCGGATGAAGTCGAGAGTAGCGCAATGACTGAACAAATTCTGTGACTGGTAAAGCGCATGGTTGCGCTTTACTGGAGGAGTAGTAAGTTTCTGAATTGTGTTTTGATACAGCAGCCCTTCCCTTAGGTAAATAATGAGAAGATATTGATCTGAGCTTGGCCTTCTGTGCTTCACTGTGACACAGAGTAAAAATCCTGAATTGTGTTGCTATCATGACCCCATTTGCCTATGTTACGGAAGCACTTTCATTTTTATGTTGCCGTTTACGTTGCCGTTTACGTTGCCGTTTACGTTGCCGTTTACGTTGCCGTTTACGTTGCCGTTTACGTTGCCGTTTATGTTGTCATATCAGAGGATTGGGATGTGGGGCAGGGAGAGGTGTTATTTTCCTCGCTTTGCGGTACTTCTGCAACAATTTATATTAAATTGCTACTATGTTTTGGATGCCGTTACGTCCCTGTTTGGATCCTCCAAAGGTCTGGGTTTGAGGCGAATGCAGTGGGAGGATGCACCCAGGATGCACCCAGCTCTGAGCCATGGGTGACTGTGCCTTTTGGTTCTGCACCAAATCCCATGTGCCATCATTTTAATTTCTCCTTCTCTAGTGCATATGAGACTTCTGTATTATGTCTCCTTTTTTTAAAGACTTAAGAAGACAGAGTCTCCTTGGCCAAGACTAGTTAACTAAACTAGAGGCACAAGTGTATTGTTAGGATATCTTCTAAGATTCTTGGCCTTGACAGGAACATTTTGGAAAAAAGCACCCTTGCTTCCTCCTTTCTGTCCAGGGCATCATCTTTCTCTTCTTGATTGTAAGAGCCCGAGGAAGTGTGGGAGTTTGGAGAACAAAATGCAGCAGAGTTTGTTGTGGGCAAGACCTGAGATTTTACTTACTTGCTTTTAACCATTTGCCCTCCTGTTGAAAGCTGGCAGCCGCCAGCAACAGGCTTGCTGCTGACATTAGTAAGTTGGAGACAGGTAAGGCAGTAAGGCAATGAATGTCCTGGCAGGTTTCTCTGTTGCTCTTGAGTGGCCATGTCCTAGCTTGGTGGCCCATGAAGCCAGCTCTGTGATGGGACTGTGTCTGTTTCATGCTCACTCTTGCTTCTGAGATGGCTCCTTACCTCCCTCTGGGCTTTGCTTGGGAATCTGCTGTTGCAGACCCACACACCTTTTGGAGATGGCATACACTTGTGCATTGTGCATTTCCCAGCTCTGAAATCAGTCATTATTTGATACGTGAGAAGTTTTGAGGGACTTGATCTAACTATGCTAGCTGCTGTGCAGCAGAATACGAATTCTATGTATTCTATGTAAAAGCTATGTAAGCCTTTCTGTTGTGAGTACCATCCTATTGTATTTGTCCTTCCCTGCCTCCCTGCCTACCTTGTTACTGTCAGTAAAATCAGGATAAGGCCTCACACTGATGTCATACACTGCAAATCATTTGATATTAACTTTATGGTCAATGTGTACATACAGGGATACTGTTGGGGCTTCCTCTGAGCCTGTTATTTCTGCACGGCCTAAAGCCATGGTGGGGTGTGGTTTCTGGAAGAGAAGGATCACTTGTGTTTAGCTATGCAACATGTCTTTGGAGTAAAACTGCTGTTAATCTGACAGGGTATATGCCAGGAATTGCTAGAAAATAGAAATATGTGGGCCTAGCACATGTAGAGCAGCCAGTGGAAATTTGCAGGGTTCATGCAGTACAATGCTGGCTTAATTTCACTGTATGCTAAAGTGAAAATTGAAAGTTTGGGACTGATTTCCACCCACCTCCCTTGCCCCATCAGACATGAAATCGCAGTGTCACAAGGAATGGCTGCTTTTGTTTACTCCTGATTCTTTAAATTTCAATGAAAACAGCTCAGAGAGAGATGGCTGTAGTGTGTCACAGGGGATTTAATTGTTTGAGGTTTGCTGTGAAGTAAGTTTGTGGTCATCCTTGTAGCATTTTTCCTTTACTTTCTGGAAGGAGCAGAAGAAATTTTCCTCCACTGACRGTGATGAATTGCAAGCTCAAAGCATCAAGTCTGAAATGTTTCTACACTGACAGCCTCTGTGGCCATTGCTGGGAGGCTACCCATCAATGAGACCTGTGGCTGCAAACCCTGCACTAGGACACATGCCTTTGTGTGATAAGATTCCAGTGTCTCAACCTTCTCTGGATCTTGCCATGTGCAAATAGGGGTAGACAGTAGTGTGCTTGCTTCCAGAAGCTCTGTTTTTAGTGCAGATAAGGCGATGAGCCCCAGCTGCTGAAGGGTGCAGGCCAGCTGAGTGCACATCAGTCTCCATCCATGGAGAAAATGAAAATTTCCAACTAGATGGTAGTGGTGCAACAGCTTAGTAGTCTCAGGCCTCTTATTCTTGCCTGGCTTCCCTGAAATAGCTGACAGAAGTTTGGAATTGAGAGGTAAGTGGAACAACAGCAATCTCTCTGAGTAGGAACTAATCTGGTTTAGATTAGTTTAGAGCCTGGATGTCTTTTGTGGTATAGTTGATGTATGGAGCCACAGTTTTCCAGGCAATACTTTCAATTGGTTATTTTTTCCATAGTTTTAATGGCTTTCCAAAAAAGGGAGCTGCCTCTTCATTCCCCCAATGCATTCAGTTTGCAGAGAAGGGTGGCTGTGTACCATGAGAGGCAGTCCAGCTGACGGAGAGAGCTGGAATGGTTTCCTACTCCACTGTGGTAAGAACTGGTGGTGGAAGTATGGAAGACTGATAGTTCTTTGATCAGTTAAAAAGGAAACAGCTCATGCTCATATGCCTTGCCTCCAATGGGAAAAGTAATTTCTCCCACAGGTCCAAACAAAACTTGCTTTTCTGGGAGTCATCAAAATATCCCTGCTTTGTGGTGGAAACTCAGTATCACAATGCTAGATTAGAAAGATTACTACTGTTTCTTCCTAGAGTAGTGAAATACTGTAAGATAGGAAACAAAAAGCTTTCAGTGCAAGTGATAGTTTACATATTTGAGGATGATAGATACAGTATTTTATTGCACTCTGTAGCTTAGCTTATATTATGGCATTGAAGTTTGCTTAGAGACTTGCAGCGCCTTTTGTTCAAAGAAAAAGTTCAGGGGCATTTACCTTCAGAATTGTCACACATCAAAGCTAATTCTTTTTGTTGGTATGTTGTTTCATGAAGTTACTTCTTCCTTGGTCTCATTTCACTTGTAACCTGAGATCATCTTGGCTGCAAAGCACTGCTGTCTTCTCTTTGTTGCTTTATGTATTATACATGGCACATCTTTGAAGATGCGCAGGCTGCAGCCTCATTATGCTGCTTTGCTATCAGCTGTTGCTGCTGCAATTTCACAATTTGCAGTCTCTGGTCAGGAGTGCACAGCAGTCTGCAGGCAGACAAAAAAGAACAATAAAGAAGTCTAGAAACAACAAATTTGTCCAGAACTGCTGTTATTACCTGTAGCTATGGGGAAACTAATGAATTTAACCTCATGCCAAGGTTATTATTCAGGTGTACAAAAACTGTGATCTGATACAATAACCACGCAACTTCCATGTAGTTGATTGCTTTACTGCATGGCTGGCTGGCTATGTCGTATGAGTGATAGGTGACACTACTGTTCACTGAAATGGAAGTGATATAGGAGCAGTCTTGGTTTTCATCCCTTTTTGGCTCATCCATTGCTTGGGAGAGGCAGACTGGCTCTAGGGAGCAGGCAGAAGTCTGTGATCCTGGGATGTGACCATTCAGGATGGGTGATTGCCCTTGACTGTGACCATGGGTGCATGGGTGGAAAGGAGTCTTGCTTGGGTGTAGAGGCAGGTGTATTYCACTACTGATGGGAGTTAGGTGGGCAAGACAAGGAGGGATAGTTTTGTGCTGAAAGGCTTAGGCTGGGATCCAGGAGCCCAGTGTCTGTCTGTACTGGGCTGCTGGCTCCTTGGGAAGACTGCATCTGTCTTGATTCCCCCTGAAATGTGATGCTGATCTCTGCTTTGTGTCACCAGAGCTTTAAATTCTCAAACAGCTCCAGTATCTGAGGTGTTTGGACCTCTGTGCTTCCATTTCCACTTGTAAAATGTCACTGGCCTTGTCAGTGAAGACTGAAGTGAAGAGAGCCTGAAGACTGGGAGAAAGGAAATGTCACCTCAGAACTTCATAACAGGCAGCCAAAGAAGTCATTCAGCATTTCAGCCTTCTCTGCAATTTCTGTTGCAAGGGGTCCTGTTTCCATTCAGCAGTGGACCCTACATTTTCCTTAGTATCCTTTTGTTGGTGATGTGTTTGAATAAACTTTTCTTGTTAGCCTTGATGTCCCTCCCCAGATGTGTTTCCAAATGAGCCTTGGCCTTTCTCATTGCATCATGCAAGGGTGGGGATCCTGCTGTAGTGGAGGCTGGGCTTTTAGGACATGCACAGAATTATTTTTCAGGGAATGCTGGAGGGAGAAATCTCCTCTTCTTGGCTCTCTTAATGAAAAAAAAATGTTCATATTGATAATTTTTTTTTCCCAGGCAAGTAMTGCCTGGAGAATCTGTATATGGAGCTAGCAGTTCAGAGCCCCAGCTTGAACTTGCTGAATAGCTATGGGCTAATACGGGCTCCAGTTACCAGTGGAATTGTCATGCATTAGCACTCAGAGACCCAACTGTGCTTCTAGTCTACTGGGATGCACATCTACTTTGGCAAGACCCTGCCTTGGCCAAGAGTGCTAGACATTTGGACTGTAATTTGTGGATCGAGCCTTTATTCTGCAAGGTCTCTCCAAGTGAACCTCTCCCTGTGCAACTGCTATGACCTCAGCAAATGTCTGAAAGTCTGAACGTCTTTATGACGTTAGGAAGATACTATATGTAATACAATAAATGTGTGTGTGTACATATGTCTATATAAAATGTTTTGAAAGAAGGCAGCAGTTTTTATAATTAATTCCTTCAGTATGGTAAAATACAACTCCAAAGGAACTTGCTTGGTTCCAGAGTCAGTTTGCTCATTGATTTAATTAAAATTTTTATCATTTAGCCATGAGTTAATGGGGCTTAAAATAATAAAAAAAATTAAAAGTTTCACAATTATCAGGTTATGCCATAAGTTGTTTTTGAGCATGAATAATTGTAATATGCAGAAGTAGTGATAGTATGGTAGATATCTGAAAATAACACTCTGGAAAAAAACTGCAAAGGCTCTGATCCAGCTGTAAGTTTCAAATACACCTAAGATGAAAATTTTTGGATTAAGGCAGGGTGAAAAGTGTTTTTCTTTGCTCTGTTTTCCTGCTTACCACCCAGAACTTAATGTATTCCTAGAAATATTTTTCTTCATCATCAAAAACRTATAGTAAAAGTTCCTTAGATTTCACAGGTCAAATAATTGCTATATAAAGTCCATGAGCAAAAACTATAGGATGCTGGTTGGTTTTCCTATGAACTGGGAGCTCTGAGCAAGTGGCCATGAAAAGCAGCAGATCTAAACATCCTGCAGAAGAGACTGTTGTTTCATCAAGTAGAAACACAGTACCTTTTCTTCACTCACTGTCTTCCTTGAGCTTGTGTCCTGAAGTAGCCCTCTACCAAAATGTTTCCGGGGGCTTTGATGACTGTCATTGTAGTAATGGGCCTGAGGGTTAAATCTCCTAGTGCAGGGTCAGTGGCACACAGGCATGGATATCACTTTTTGCTCCCCCCTTCTGAGCTGTAGTGATTTATCTGACGCAGATTTAAACCTCTTCTACTGCACCTTTGCTGGAGCCATGCTGCTGCTATTTTCATGCTGCTGTGATACTGCTTGTTTAGTGTCTCCCTAGGCAGCACTCTGGCTTGTCTCCCTAGCTGGCCTCTTGCTRTATTCCCTGATGTGGGTTAGTGTGCTTCATGGTGCATGTTGGTGACTGATCCACTGATAAAACCCAAGAGCCCTGCATGCTGCTGTCTCTAGTCTGTGTGAGTAGCAATGCAGCTGGCTCAGGTGAAGAGTGTGTGCTGTGCCAGGGATGACCATGGTTTGTTTTGTTCCCTTCTTCCATCCAGAGTACAAGAAGAAATATGGGGAGGAGCATGGTTCATGCCAGGCAGGGATCGCAGGCTTCTTCACTGAGGTGAGCGGGGGCATGTGCAAAGAATGGTTGGGGTTGGTGAGCGGCTCTCTTCTCCCAGGAGGCGATTCCTGAGCATGGCTTGGACAGTGGGCTGAGTGCTGAGAATGGCCCCTTCCTGCCAGCAAACACCCTTCTGCCTTGTCTGGTTTCCTAGGTGTCTGTTTTTTGCACAGTGACTCCCCAGTGTGTCTCTCAAGGTCTGTGGACAAGAATGAATTAATTGATTCTGGGAAACGTCCTCAGAGAGTACTATTATGTACACCCCAAAACTTGCATAGAGGTATTTGTGTCTGTCATTAACTTTTTACTGTAAGCAGTGATGTAAAATGTCTTCCATGGATCATTTTGTTTATGCATGTGTACATGTGCATGAATATAATGTACATACAAGTACATACATATGATAAATAGTTTTCAGTTCTGCTACAGTTCTTTATTGCAGAAAGATGGAGAAAAAAATAGCGTAATCAAATATATGCACCACAACCATTCTAAATACTTGACCACATTCTTTCCTGGACAGGAGTCTAACAGCCATGTTTCAGTTTTGTCAAGAATTAGTTTGTTCCCTGTGCATGGATTATTTTTGTGGGTAACATTTCAGGATTGTGGCTTTTTTGCTTGTTTGTTTTGGTTTTATTTTAGATTTTTAAAGAACCTTTACCCATTCCTAATTTTATATGCACTGATCTGCAGAATCTATTCTCCCAGCTGATACAAACAGAATAAAGGTTTTCTCTCTTAGAACTTGCCTTCTGCAATTTCAGTGAAATGGGATGGCAGGCAATGTTGCCACAGGGGCACTTCTGGTAACCGGATGTTTAGCCAGCAGCAGCTGTTTCCTGGCTTGTCTGCTCTCTCCAGCTTGTTTCTGTTCCCAGGCTTAAATTCTCCTTTGCTACCCTAGTTCAAAAGATATCTTTGAACTTTTGTCACTTCAGCCTGGTGGAACCAGGAAATGCAGATAAATGGCAAATGGGTCAAATGGGCAATCCGGTACCTTATATTCAGCACTGTGGATGGTAGTTGCTCCTGTCAGTAAATAATCCCTTGACCTTAGAGGCATAGCACATATGAAGGAAAAAGCTTTTTCTAAGCGTGTCCTGCACGTTGGTTGGGTTTTCAGTCCTGTCCCCATAGTCTTATTAGGAGAATCCCTTGTTTAATAGCTCCCCCCAACTGGAACTGGTCACCTGAAGGTGACTTGGATATGAGCGATTTCCCGCAAGGATGGGATTCACCCATGGCCTTGCACTGAATGGAGATGTGAAGAAAATAGCTGCTCACATGTCTTCTTCAGGGCTAGACAACTTACTGGGCTTAATGCTCCAGAGACTTGATTTAGTCCCTTGCTTGGAGATATTTAATACCACATCCAGGAGCAAGGTTTTCCTGCAAGGATGCTAGATGTTTTGGGGCAACATTTTCTGAATCTCTCTTGAATGCAAATGTACCTTGGATTTTGACTCAAAAACAGTATCCATTAGCATCTACCTTTGATTGCTGGATCAAACTTTGCCTGCTTTCTATGGTCTTTTAAAGTGCTCAATCACTCTGGTTATCTGTAATAATTCCAAGCCATTTTATGATTCTGTGATGACTCTATAGCCAGGTTGTCTCTCAAAGACCAGAGTGTATCTGATAACAGAGCAGGTGAAATGTTCCAACTGACATAATACATGTCCTGCTTGTTGAGTACACGGCACCTCTTTAGCTTCAAAATTGTAAAATTGAAATCCCTTGTGCCATTCTTGTCATGATTGGTTGGTGCAGCATGTCAGCCAGCATCAGCATGTGATCTGTAGCTGAGTGGTGCGTCTGGGTGGGCTGCAGTGTCTCTATCTCTGGGTCTTCTGAAGGAGGTTGGGAACGGCAACAAGTGGAGAGATTTTTGGGGGAGCTATGTTATCACGGATAAGTTTGACAGAAAGACTGAGGAAAGTCTTCTATTGCGGCAAAATAGCTGAGTGGACCATTAAAGCAAAGTGTGTCTCTGGGGTGTATGAAGGGATCTCCACATTGGGGAAGAAGGAAGGATGCACTCTAAATGCACACAGAATAGAGATTATTATATATGGACTTATAACTGGTGTTTCGAGTAAATATTCTGGTCCTTCTCCAGTAATGTGTAAAGCATGATTTTTTTTGTCCAGTTTTGACTGTTATTTTGTTCTCCAACCCTTTTCCTCACATACTTGTGTTTTTCCTGTTGTAGGAGCTGGTCATCATGGGGGCACCAGGATCTTATTATTGGACAGGAACTGTCAAAGTACTGAATATCACTGACAACACATATTACAAGCTGAATGATGATGCTGTGATAGCCAGGCGGTACACATACCTTGGTAAGCAGCTTTCTGGTGCTCACTGTGAATGGGAAATAGTCCAACAATGTATTTCAGGGCTTTGATGCTATAAAGTTGATACTGATCTTTTTACGGTGATGTGGGGTACTTTTCATAAAAGTGTGAAAGGAAGAAAATTTGAATTAAAGTGATASTTATCTGGAAAGAAATATAAGCAAAGAAGCATTAAAAATATACCATTTTACTCTCCTCTCCGCCCAGTTTTGCTATAATTTTTTTGACTAATATAGAACACGCATTTAAACTGAACATCACATTGGATTGTAGTGGCCTTCTTAGCATTCCTGCCTTTGCCCTGTGACAGTCAAATTATTTGTCTCTTTGTCACAAACTGCATGTCTGCTTGCATGTGCCTTTAAAATGGGTATAATAACTAATTACAGAATGTGTATTGCAGATATGTTTATTTCAACAAAAATAATACTATCTAAATGTGTCGTTGGCAACTGAAGGAAATTGTGAAAKGGTTGGCTATATGTATATCAATTGGTTTTACTTGCTCTAAAACCAGCTAATGTCCCTAAAATACTTAAAGACTTATACCTAACCTGAAGTGCTTAAGGCTGTTGAGACCTAGAAGTCTGATATTGTTTGACTAAAGTCTTGCATTGATCTCTTACTGTCCCCTTAACCTTTAGTCTTTTAAAAAACACCATTTGGGAGATACTGCTTGGTGATAGCTAAATGAAGAGTGAATGTTTATCTATTTGCAGACATAAATAGGTTTTGCCACTGACAGACTTGAATTATAGGATTTCCTATATAGACAAGAGCCTCATAATTTGTAGCAAAAGAGCGAGGCAAATACAAGACAACTTTAGAAGGAAAGCTACTCTACTCATCTTTAGTTATTTTATATTTTAATATCAAATAATGCAGGATCTTTGATCTTTGAGCTTTTTTTTGTTTGATATGTCATCCCATTTTTCTTTTTCCTTAGACAAAAGTCTTTTTAAGCTTTTAACTTGTCTGACTTCTTTGCCCACTGTCCTTTGATGTTTCCCCAAACAAAAAGGAACATGGTTTTCCAAGCCTTCCCGGGCARTGATTTTAGCCAAAGGAGGGCACATAACGTCTGATCCATATGGGATCGTTCCTCTTTGATATGATACTTCCTCTGTGGTCATGTGATTGCCTTTCTCTRTGTGTACCTTTTTGTGTTTTACTGCTTTCCTCTCTTGAGTTGCAGTTGGCTAGTTGGTCCCAGTAGCAGCTCCATTGGTCATCTCCACACACATGACTTTCCTCTCTCAGCTTTTGGAAGTATACTTGAGGTTGCATTCTCACTTCCCATCCCCATGAGCTTTTGAAAAGAGTATTGGTGTATCCTGAGCAGAATGGTTGTTGAACTCTATGTGCAGCCCAGAAGCAGTGAAAYGTCATAAGCCTGATCCAGCTGGCTGATCTGTTTCTCAGGCGCTTTCATTTCATGGTTCTTTATTATTTATTTATTTATTTCCTCTACCACTCAGGATATGCAGTGACAGCAGGTCATTTCTCTCAGCCAACTACCACTGACATTGTAGGAGGAGCTCCCCAGGATGGAGGCATCGGAAAGGTGGGGCTCTTTATCAAACAGAAATGTGGTTGGATGCAACAATGCAAAATGCAATACTGATGCAGTTCCAATATGTATGACAAGACAAGGGTTTTTTGTCTGTAAGGTAGTTTTGACCACTGAGCGGAGGAGAGGTGAGGTAGTTTAGTGAAGTAATCAAATTTTTTCAACCTGGCTCTCCTGATGCCTCGCATCCTTCACCTCTCTTGCCTCTCTTTCCCTCCCAAAGCTTACAATACCCCATTTTAATGAGACACAGACAAGATATCTTTTACACTGCTTTTGTTTAGGATTTGTGACATTTAGGCATCACTTAAAGCTTTTCTAGAAATGAAAATACTTGTAAAAGAGAATTTGTCTTCTGCTTGTTTAACTCATTTATTTGACTGTTTCAGTATTTACTTCAAGGAAACATCTCTAATAGAATGAGAAGCTGCCTCTTAAGTGGTTTGATGCCATTTTTAAAGCTTSATAATATGTTGATGTTTAGTATATTAGGGTCTGAGTTTTTGTCCTCTGTACTTGGAAATCGTGGTGATAGTCTCTTAAGAAGGAAGGAAACAAAAAATATTTTCCTGTAGGCATACGTATGTTCAATGTGCAAAAGATGTAAACAAGTGATTGTCTAGATGGAAATGGCTAGCGAGTTAGGCAAGCCTGGTATCCACATGCTGTTGAGGGTGAGCACTGTGATCTCTTAGGCTCTTCTAAACCCAAGGTGGAAAAGTGGGAATGGGAAGAGGCGGGGAAGGAATGTAAAGGATCTGCTTTTGTCCCCCTTTCTTCAAAATTTAATCCTTTCAGGACCTGCTGCCATCACTTGCTTGAGCAAGGACATCCTTTCCCTTCCATCTTCCTCCCTTTGGCTCTTGTGCTCTATAGTGACATGAGTTGTAGCTGAATCATAACAAGGAATTAGAGATCTCAACTATCAGGAACTGTACTACTTAGGCACATTATTTTTGATAGTAACCATGTTCTGGGGTAGCAGTGCAAGTGGGGAAAATGGGATAAAAGTGAAGGATGCAGGTACTTATATCTGATCTGGCGTGAGTAGGACATAACAGGTTATAGTAGCAGCACAGTTGCTACTGAGAGGAGTGCATAGGAAAGACACTTTCCTTATCCCTGATGTTCTGTTATGGCTGCTGCAATGCACCTTCCTTCCAACCTATTTTTTCTGTGGAAGAAATTTCATTTCTCTACAAGGAGAGGGGGCAGGGGGACTCAGCTCCTGGCAAGAGATCCACAAGAAAGTAGCTGGCTCTGTAGTTTGAAGACTATTGCTCTAATTGCAAAAGCTTACGTTGTTCTCCCTTGGCATGAGATGAGGATAACAGGAACACATGGTGAAGTGGCGGTAAGAGATGCTGAATACAGAACATTACAATGAGCCATCTTGTTGTGCTTTCCACACATTCTAATAAGTTGATCTTTTTTCCTTCTCTGATAGTCATTAGCATTGTCACACCTTTTCATTTTAGTTAAAGCCAGGATTCTAAATGAGGCTGAGTGATTTCTCTGAAGTCACAGGTGTGTCATTGGGATTGTGTTTGGAGTTGGGACATGTGGCAACATGTTGTCACTGCTAAACAAGTCACTGCAAAAGCTAGGGAGTCCATTGTATATAGAGGAATTGTCCACAGTAAACTTGTGCYGTGTTCTTCACTGGAAACAGCTGTGAACTCTGTCTCACCACCTATTATTAACTCATCACATATTCAATTATGTCCAATGCTTGGCTCTGCCACATGACCTTGGAAGTAAGGGATCCTCTGTCCTGCAAACTGTGTGAGCATCTGCGAGGAGGGAGCCTGTCAAATGCCAGAGGAGTCTCAAAGACTGACTGAGCCAGCCTTTCTGTTGAAGAGACTCTTTCTGCAAGCCATGCACTTTACATCTTAAATTTTGGTACCAGATCTGTTCTTGAACTAGTATCAATACTTTTATCCCCAAGGATTCCAGATTAAACAGTTTCTTAAACGTGGGAACGAGCAATGAATAGGCTGTTTGAATAGTTTTCTGAATTACAAATTATTTCAGACAGAAGCACCATGAAGTTTGCAGTGCAGTACATGCAGGCTCATGGTCTTGCTAAGGTAATGCTAGATAAGGGAAGGGGAGCAGGGTTATGCATTCTCAATCTTTTGCCCTACTCATTTCCAGACAGTCTCCAGATGCCACTTGTTTGAGAGTTGGGAATTTGCATGGCTAAATGCTTTTAAATGCACACATGTGCACATACATATGTGTACCAAAAAAGTAGGCAACAAGATAATATTCAAGTGTTTTTTATGATAAGCCTCTGATTTTTCAGGACAGTGGGGAGCTCTGTGTCATCTTTTAAGAGAAGACTGACCAATAAAGTGGTCATGAAGGGTTTGATCTTGGCAGTACCCATGATCATGATTTAGAGATTATTTAGAAAGTACCATTGCTACACCATTATGTGCTTCATAGTTAGTATTCATTAACTTTTTTCAACTTTCAGGTTTATATTTTCAGAACTGACAGACGATCAAGCTCTTTAATAAAGATTTTTCAGGCTTCAGGAAAAAAGGTGAGCATTTATGTATGTGTGTTTTCTATAAAGAGGTAGAGAGGTGGGAAATAGAGGCAGAGTCATCCTGGACCATAATTTTCATTCTACTCCTTCATAAGTTGTCAAACAAATCCTGTTTCTTCTTATCCTCCCAGAAGAGCTAAACCTATTTTACACATCAGCTGTATGCCATTTCTTCTGTACCAGTCGTGAATGCAATGTCTGCTCAATGCCCATGTAACTGAAATACAAGGTCTTGCTGGAATTTGTAATACTGGTTCTCTTAAGTCTTATATGACTGTAGTAGATCTGAGATGTGGGATGTGAGGTGCCAGGTAAGCCTACTTGCAGAGTTTTCTCTGGGAGATGTGGGTAACCTGGAGTTCAGTATGCTAAGCGTCMGTCTGTTTTCGTGTGTCATCCTGTGACAAGGGGGATATTTCAGTTACACTGTTTCATGGAGGACCAGTTTCATTGCCTCAACAGATGATGTTTTCTCCCTTCCCGCTATGAATCAGTCCTGCATTCTTAGGACTGCTGTCTTAAAGCTGGACTGCCCTCCCGCTCCATGAAATTTGTGAGTGCTAGTGAGATCTAGCTCCCCCAGTGTGGTGGTCTGTTTGAATGAGGAACAGCTTGTGTTCCTCATTCAAAACTTTTCTGCAGGAAAAAAAAAAAAAGTGGACAATATATCTAGCTACAGGTAATAACAAAAAAGCGCTTGATTTGGGAATAACTGAGTGTTGAAATGATACCTCTTCTCTGGGGTTACCTGTGTTCCTCTGGAAGGAGAGAAAATACAGAAAAAGAAGGTTGCTGGAGGCTTTTGGCTCTTGAAGACCTGCCACCTTCAGAAAGACCCAAATTGCTTGACTGTGTCCTCAAGTTAGGAATGTTACTGTGTTTTGTTATTTTGTCCCAGCAAGACACAGTTGCAATATTAAATAACTTGCCTGAATAGGGGAGAACTACAAGGATATGTAGGTGGGTGGTGTGACTTGTGTTTTAGGGCTTCTCCAAAATTTTACTTAGTCTGCACTGGCAGAATTACAAACATCTTGAAAGGAAAAGACCTCCCAGTTCTTCCAGTGCATCTCCYGTGTTTCATTGCTTCCTGTTCATTTTTTTGCCTGTTGAGTTTTAAATGTCCCTAAGGATGTGCTCCTGACTATTCTTCAGCCTAATAAACAGAGCCATTAGGAAGTTTCCAGGTTTTAGCCAAAACTTTTCCCTTTTCAGTTTAGTTGGTTTATTCTAATATGTAACTTAACTAATAAAGTATTTACATCATTCAAGAACTTCTAGGGTTCTTTTCCACTAGCATCTTCTACAAATTATCAAAAATCCAAATTATAATTTTATTTTAAAAAGAAGGCTGTGCTAAATCATCTTTTTTTTGTTTGATTGCTGTTTTTTGTTTTGTTTTTGTGGTAGAAGCAAAACCAGACCTGCTCAGCAATGAGCACTGCCTGGAAATGAGCTCTCACAAAATGCTACATCCTTCCCAGCAGTGTGAAAGTTCATTGCTCTGACATTCAGATGTGAACAGCAGGCCAGTTTCTTCCTTCCTTTTTATTAATGGAGGCTGAACTAGCAAATCAAATGCAGACAAGAAAAAAGAAAATGCAGTACCTTGTTACAAATGTTAAATATACAAACTTTAGGTTCTTACAGCACTGTGAACTCACTCATGCTGCAGACACATCCTGTCACAGTTAAGTAAATAATGGCCTTTGCCTGAAAACTGCCTGAATACATAATTAAATGCTTTTTGTAACTTTTGCTCATTACCCATGAGGAATTTACTCATGAGAAATTTCTTTTAAAACCTTAGTGGATTAAAAAAATTAACAGAAAATCCACAAAGGAGCTTGAGTTACTAAATAACTGGAATCAAATTATACTTGAGGTCTGACTTTAAACTCACACAAGCACAAAAATCAGAATTAACAAACTGAAATGCTATCCTTACTCACCTCTGTATTATATATTTAGCAACTTTTAAATCTCAGAGACTGCATAGAATAGTGTTGTTGCTGCCCATCTTCTCGCATGCCCATCTTCATGCATGTTAACTTAACAGGCACAGAAGACAATAGTGCAGTGAGTAATGGAAAAGTTCTGCAGTGAGTAATGGAAAAGCAGTCAAGAAAAGTGATTAATTCTTTTAAACATAAGTAATTATTTCTTTAACCTCAATTTGTCCTACTATGTAGGAAATAGCTCTCAATTTCAAATACAAGGTGGTATCTTTCCCAGTTTCCTGTGAAAGCTGCTTTTAATTTTGAGGCTGTAGTTTATAGCTGGTTTCAAAGAGTATGCCTTGTGTTACCTTAGCAGAAGTGAATGAAATAAGGGTRAAATATCATTTTTGCTTTTAGTTTCTTTCTTGTGTTTAAATGTGCTTTGAAATTTGTAACATGGGTGCTSGTTGGGGGATAGTTAGTTTTTAATGTTCATTCAAATAAAAAAAATAATGGAGTGAAATTAATGTATTTCTTAATTTTAAGCAATTAAGTTTATCAAGCAATAATAAGTGGAGATTATAAGTGGCTTATTTTTATTGTTTATCACCTGAAAAGCTATTATTGAAATTATTTGTTTCTGTATTAACTTACCTTCCTGTACATGAGAGGAAAGGCTATGATTAAGACCCACAACCATTACTGCCCTTTGATGGTGATTAATATAAATAAATACAAATAGAACATGGAAAGATATTCTACAATCAAGTCATAGTCTTAGATAGCTATTTTCRTGGCCTCTTTCCTACTTTTCTTTCTTTTCTTTCATTATTTCTCTCAGGTATCCCCAGATCATCTGTAGAACTTAACTTCAAGGAAGTTTCGCAGTGGGCATGAATAATCACTGTCTTGATCTAGTTTGGGAAACTGATTTCATCCCTTCCTAGCTTTAAGCATTTGACAAGCAAATGTCAAAGACTAGCTTTGAACTAAGCTAGTTCTAGGAAATCTCTTTAAGTGTCTCACTTAARTACGTCCCAGAGTATAATTTCTGTTGGTGAAACATCCAGTCTGATGCATTGTTATAGTAAAGTGTTTTAATTTGTGCCAGTATTATTCCTAAAGCTTTTTCTATAGGAGTGCTTGTGAGTGATAAAACAGCAAGACATCATGTGAAATTAAATGAATAAACCAAACAAAACAAAATCCATGCCTATATGATTTCCTCCTGTGTGTGGGCAGATACTGAATGCTTTGTTGTGACTCAACTTGGTTACAGATGGGCTCTTACTTTGGCTCCTCCTTATGTGCAGTTGATCTGAATTCTGATGGGTTGTCAGACCTGCTGGTTGGAGCACCTATGTTTTCTGAGATCAGAGATGAGGGTCAAGTCACAGTCTATATCAACAGAGGAAACGTGAGTATGTACAGGAGGTGACTTGGTAAGGGAGCGTGTGGGTCCCAGGCAAGGTAATGCTTAGTCCTTCCAGCACTGCAGCACTCAATGTCTCAGACAAGTGGGGCTCTGGATGTCCCTAGCAAAGTAAAGTCACAGGAGGGCTTATCYGGTGTCATGGTTTGCTAGACACCAGCCCACATTTATCACAGTCCTGTGAATCTTACAAGGAGGTCTGAGAAAGTTTCTGGTTGTATGATGAAACTTGGTGGCATTTGTGGCTTCATGTGGATTTGATGCCAAAACTAAATAAGAATTAGCTGCTTTGAATGAGTTTCCTTTGTGTTTTGGGTGGTCTCTAAGACCTAAAACACAAATTAGAATGCAAATGTCTGAGGATTGAAGAAGAGGAGAAAAACGGGAGATTGAATTCATGTTACTTTTACATTATGCCTCATGTAGAGATTTTAGGGGCAATTCTTATTAGCTGGTACTGTTGGATTTTACTTGACCTCAAAAGTCTTGGAAAACTCTGAACTTTGTTACATTGGCAAACCAAGACCATTCTTATGTTCTATTTACAGAAAAACAATGGTTGTTTACATAGTATTAAATATTTAATACTCAGGTTCTAAAGCTGCTGTCTTAAAAGAAGAGTTGTTGTAGACTAAAATGGAATTGGCTTGTATTTTCTAACTTTGAATTTATTTATGCTAGACTTCAAATTCACTGAAAGTCCTAGCATTTAGGAGACTTTAGAAGTGTTTTTGGTGTAATTTTATTTTCTGTTACTGCTCCTTTAAATGAGATTTACTTCAGTTTAATCCACAGGAGCTTCCACCTTTTATGTTGCAGAATTACTGTTGGGGCCTCAGGATAGGATCTAGAATGGCAAACAGATAATAGCCAGCATTTCCTGCTCATAGTGAGAGCATACACGAATTAATTTTTAACTTCTATAAAATAGTCCAGAAGCTACTGTGAGATTCTTATGCTCCTGCACCAGAAGTATAAAAATTACTTGCACAAGCAATTGCAGGATTGTGGGCTTTATTTTGGGCTGTGGACATTTTAAACTTTGTTTCGTTCTGCAAGCACCATTGCTTAAGAGGTTGTTGCAGAGGATCAGAGAAAACTGTGTTATGAAACAAGCACACATAGTGATGCTACATTTAAAATGCTTATAATTTGCTCTTTCCTGTGAGGACTGCAGAGAATTGAGTCACACATACAGACTTGACTGTCTTCTCTCTGTTGTGTTTCAAATTCATTATATGGGATTTTCTTAAAGTCATCAGCTCAACGCAGCTAAGTAAAAGATTTTATTGCATGTTCCATTCACAAAGGAAGCAAAACCAAAACAGCTGTGATGTACAGACTTAGGTTGTGTAACTAATTTTTTTTTTCTTGTGGAAATGTTCCTTTCCCCTTAAGGGAAGACTGGAAGGAGATTAAACTTAGTGTCTGACCAGAAGGTGGATGCACAAGAAATACCAGAGCCATATAAGGCTTCTCACACCATAGTAGTACAAAGCTATTTAATTCTGATTTTTTTCTCAGTCTCTTTATTTCAATAAATCTCTTTCCTTATTCTTAATTTAAGAAGGCTTTTGGGGGACTTTGTTTTAATCCTTCTGTCCTGTACTTAAAATATTTTCAAGTCCAGTTATCAAATATTCTTGCTTAGGAAAAAAAATATTCCTTAGCTCACTGGAGTTTAGCTGAATAAACTTGGACTGGAGATTTCACTCCTTGGATGTAATCTGCCCATAGAGCAATCTCTGGGCTGTTATGTTTTAGATATCTGAAAACTTTCATAAGTTCACCAGTCCCTGTGACTGCATTTAGTTACATCTCTGAGTTACTGTGCTGTTAATTATACATTTTGGTTAAATTACTCATGCACTCCTTTCCTTTAAAACTAAAACCCAGAAGGTTTAAAACACAAGTAAATTAAATTTCTGGAGCCCAGGTAATCTGAATGCAATGAGAGCAAGAGGCAGGCTGCAGCTCTGCCCCAGGTTGTTTCCACAACCTGGCACATGGGAAGCTTCCATGGGGAAGGCTTGGCTCGTCCAGTGTTTGCACTGTTTCCGTGACCCTGTTATATTTCTTTCTTGCTAGGGAGTGCTGGAAGAGCAGCTCATCCTGGGTGGTGACAGTGCCTATAATGCACACTTTGGGGAGAGCATGGCTRCCCTTGGTGACATTGATGATGATGGCTTCCCAGGTCAGTGCAATTTCCTCCATGGCCGTTTCTCCTTAAGTGCGAGCAACACTGGTGACACTATCAGTCTTGCGTGGCATGCATTGCTTATCCAGACCTGACTAGCACCTGGATTCAACCTAAGCATAAATATGGTTGTATAGGATTTGTGTGCTAAAGCCTTTTGTAGCTGACTGTCCTTGAGGTTGGTTTAGTTTTTGTCTTTGCAGGTCATGGTCCAGTCTCATTAACATTGCTTTGCTGTCCTTGCTGTTGTATTTTCTTCTTCCTTGTATGGTTTATAAAAGGCTTGAGACAGCTTCACCCTGAACAGAACAGAAACCTATATCTGACTTCTTTTCCATTTCCCTACATTTCCAAGCCTTTCTGGTTTTGTTGACATAATCTCATTTCTTATCGTGAAGTATAATTAAGAGGTAGCTTCTCACTCTTGATAGCACACAGTCTATTGATTTCTGTCTTTTGCTTTGTTCTTTCCCTGCTCCATTCTCAGGATGCTCAGTGTGAGGCCCCATGCTGTGATAGCAGTAGGTGAGAGCAAAGTCTTGGTGCTCCTTTTCTGCCCTGGTTTCTGGAAGTGAAGTGCAGATTAAGGACTTAGGACTTCTAAACAAAGGCCAATTTAGTGCGTGTCTAGATTTATTTCTTCTAGGCCACTTAGGACACAGTATCCCATTAAGCCTAACCCGGCCTCACTGCATATTGTCCTAACAAATGGTGGGCATGCTCTTCCTCTGTATTTGGACATGCATTTGTGTGTTCTTGTTAATGCTTGTAGGTCAGTTGAGATGATGGCAAGACTGCAGAGGGAGTTGGATCAGTCTGTGGTTATGATGCAATCATGAAAAGCTTAATTTTAGCAGATGCATAGTCACTAAATCCAAGTCGGAGAGGAGAATGAGGTGGTGGCATCATGTTTTCTGCAAGAAGAAGTAATTGCAGTACAAGTGGATCAAATGTAATTTGAAAGTTCACTTTCAGCAACCTTTTTAAAATTCTTGCCGATCCATTTACTATACCTAGCCACCTTGTGAAACCTTGGATTTTTAATGTACTGCTACAACCTTAAAGTACTGCTACAGTAAATATTTTGCTAGTCTTGTCTTGATTCACATAGCTGATGTTCTCATGAGTTGAAGATTTTGTTGTGAAAGGATCCTAAATAACTTTGAGTATGGTTGCTGGCTGATAAACACACATTTTCATAACAACACATGTTTCTAATTAGGTACATCATCTGATTCTGTGAAACATACATATGTATACAAATTCATATGCACTTTTATCCTAGCATGAGCTCTTAATTAAATCAAACAAGTTCCTTCTACTTGGGTTCATATGAGCTGAACATCTTTGTCATGGGGAGCTGTTTTCTTATGGATAGCTGCATCCTAAAATTAGGGAAAAGTTGGATTAATGGAACAGATTGTGAAATCTGTACTGTTTTACAGATATTGCCATTGGAGCGCCTAAAGAGGATAACTACATAGGAGCAGTCTACATTTACCATGGGAGTGCCAATGGTATTATACGTCAGTACTCTATGGTATGTGGCACTATTGTTTATGATCCCTATCTGAAGTCACTTTCCGAGGACCTGCAGAAGTAAACCTTGCTTAATAGGTAACCTCGTCATAGCTCTATATCCTTTTCTCAGTCTTGGTGTGAAGAGGGCTTCTCCCAAAGTTTGTCTATATCTATGCTGAAAGGTAAAAGTATGTTAGTCAGGAGGTATCTTCCTGTCTTTCGTTACAGCTGTCAGCTATATCTTCTTGAAACAAACAAAGTCTCAGGGGTTGAGTGTTAGATTTTAGAGATAGTACTGATGCAGAGGAGAAATGAAGACTCTTGAAAGGCTGAGCATACAAATTATGGAGAGGCCTGCCTATGGGAAGCTGGGAGGTTGCACTTTCTTCTTGTAGAAGCAGACTTGGTGAGAATGAAAAGGTACTAACTGTTCATTTGTGCCTCTTTGCCCATCTTGTTGGCCTTCTTGTATTCTGACAATATGCCAGAGGCCATTCTTAGGTGCCATCCTCCTTACCCACTTATAAAGTAAAACCTTGTTTGGGATATGCTGTGGTATCTTGTGCAGAGATGACACAGTGCAATTTAGGTGCTGTAGCCAGGCAGTAGAGAAGATAAATTCATACTCTTGCTGCCCAGCATGTGTCCCTTAGTCTTTGTCTGGCACATTTCATTGTTCTGAGAGTCTGACTCTTCCCTCCCTCTGTGTGTTTGAAGTTCTGGTTGTTTTGTTTTGTTGCTGGGTGGGATCCTTCACAGTAAATCAATTTCCAGAGAATTAAAGAGTTCAGTGGTTATATTGGCAGCTCTTTTAACAGACTGTAAAAGTTTAGTCCTTCCTTTACCATGAATATGGTATGCACTGCTTTTGAGAAAAAGGAAGTTAAGAGACTCTTTAGTGCATTTTAAAAGTATTCATAATGTGTGGCATGTGGAGGATTCTGCCTGGTTTTTGCCAAGAGCCACTGGCTGGGAGGTTCTTCTCTGACTGTTGAAAAGTCTAGAGCTTTCCAGCTCTTGCTGAAAAGGATTAGATTTTTTTTGACTGGTTTGGTTTTCAAGTTTGGGGGTTTTTTTGGTTTTTTTGGTGAATCATGGGAAAAATTTGCATTTTATAAGGAGGGTGGATCAGCAGGGTGGGAAGGAAAGCATCCTGTTTGTTTGTCCCTTCCCACTGGAGCAAGGCCAGCAGATACAGCACATCTCTCCACTTGAGTGGGAAAACACCCACTCAAGAGTGTAACAGGATATGTGGTCATTGGCTCTTGGTACCATCCCTATCATTATCCCATGTCTCGAGGCAGGCTAGGGGGCACGACTTACAGGCATTGTCTCTGTGCCACTTCCCAGTGTCTGGTGCAGGGCACTAGACCACTGGTGGTTCAAGATCTGCATGCAGCCAGAACTGGTAACAACTTCAGCTCTTAACCTATCCGGATTTGAACCTGGACATTTTGTATCCTATTACTATATTCCTGATCCATCTTAATGTTCTGGATTTCCTTTTTAAAGTAAGCTATGAGAGGTGGAGGGGTAATCCTTCAGGGTATGTATTTTCACCCTTTTCATTTTGTTAGCTCTTCCTCCTCCCTCCTTCTGCTTTCTTCATTTAAAGTGCTGGTAAGTGTTGTTCTCTGGTGTCCCTTCAGCAGCTTCAATAGCAGCAATTAGCAGAAGCAGCTGACTTGGCTTTGTGGCCTGCTATTTTCATTTATGGTATTTAACAGCAGAGCAGCATTATTCCTCTGTCTTGTAGGTTGCAAGAACCCGCAGATGTCTTTTAGGTGTTTGCACCGAGGATTTGTTTTGCACCTAGTTAGGGATTTACTACCCTAACTGGGACCCCCAGAAGTGCAATGTAAGTGTAATATGGGGATGAAATCACTTCCAGTTGTCTTAAGCTTACCTGCCCACAGGTACGAAAGGAGATCTGTACCTAGAGAAGCACAGTTTTCACTGTAACTGTCAGGATATCTTTCTTACCTTCAACTCTTTTTTTCCATTAATTTCTTGCCTGACCTTTTGTCCAATATTAGATTCTTTTATGGGAAGGCCGGGAAAAGTTGGTCACATGTCACAAACTGTGAAGCACCCTCAAAAAACTTGAAATTACTTCATCACTTCCTCTGTCTGTAACTCCTGTAGCTTCATGGAAGAAGTTGATTTGAGTTTTGCTTGAACTTTTACATTGATGGCCCAGCAGAATTATTCAAAGCTGGGAGACTTCTAATTGCCTCCTTAGAAAAAGAGATTTTGATATATTAATTTGCTTCATACAAAGGCATTTACAATGCAAATAATTTAGAGAAATTTTTGTATTAGTAATCAGAAAAAGAAAGAAACTWTGTTGGAAGTTAATTCATCTTTGTGTTCGGGAGGCAGAAATGAGATACAACTTCCAAACTGACAAAAAACATGCCATAATAGCTGATGGAAACTAGAATTTCCAAGTGACATAAAACTTAGTCATTTTGACTTGGAGTATGCTGGCAAACTTGGTGAAAAGAAATGGTTGTGGGGGATTTTCTGTTTCAACTAATTGTTAATTTTATTAAGATGCTTCTTAAAACTTTTATTCACAGAAATTCAAGTAATAAAAAAAAATTATCTCTAGGGTGCAGTTATATTTCTCCCCTGTCAGAAATCTGTTTGATGTGTTCTTTATTTTGYTTGGATCTGCATGAGTAGTGTAATGCAGGTGTGGGTTTTTAATCCAACTCAACACTGATCTCCTACTAGCTGAGAACAGAAGGGCAGTTGACAGTCTTCCTGTTGGGGCTGTRTGGGTGAAGTGCAAGACTGCATGTGTGTAGCACTTCTAGCCCTGAGAAGAGAGACCCAGTGGTCATGAAAATCATGCTTGCATGTTTTGGGGTTTTTTGTTTTGGTGCAGGTTTTTTATAGAGAATTCTTTGTGTTACTGACTAATTTCACTTGTGTGTTTCTACTGCAGAAGCTGTCTGGGCAAACAATAAACCCAAAGCTGCGTATGTTTGGCCAGTCCATATCAGGGGGAGTTGATATGGATAGCAATGGTTATCCAGGTATGTTGGCTACTTTGGCAGTGAAAGCATCAGGAAAATACGGCAGTTGGCTGAGAAAACAGCAGAGCTGGTTGTTTTCAGCCTGCTGGTTCCTGCCACTGCAGATGTTCGGTGAAGCTGAGCTGCTTTTTCCATTTCCCTTCTGCTGCTCAAAGCTCCTGATAAAAATGTTAGGTGATTGCCTAATTCAAGTGTTTGGGCAGTGGTTGAGGATTCTGTATCTGGCCAAGGTTGTAAGTTTCTTGGAAGCTGCTCTGTCAGGCTGGCAATCTTAAAATAACCCAAAAAATAAACAGTAATATAATAGTAGTAGTAAAGATCAAACAATGAAGTAGAAGTGARCATCACAGAACTGATCCTCCAGTTACAAGACTTATGACATAATGATATTTGAAGGGACAAACTGGCTAAGTCTGAAAACACTTATTTTAGTTTCATGCTCTGTAATTTAGCAATCAGTTAGAGAGAACTGAATTCTGTGCCTCCTTTGTAATTGCCTTAATGTTACCAACATTTCAGATATGACTGTTGGAGCCTTCCTGTCAGACAATGTGGTGCTTCTGAGGTGAGATGAATGTCTTTTCCATTCATTGGTTTCTTCTGTTTTCTGTTTATATCTTATGTGGTCTAAGTCCAGTTTCCTCCTTAGTTTATTGTGGCCAGAAGTAGCAATCTGGTTTACTTTTTAAGCAAAACCATAGACATAAATGATGTCAAAGAATGCAGTCTAATTTAAATAGAATAGTGAGGAGTGATAATTTCAGGATAGTACCTGGTCTGTGAAGAAGGGTTAGAGCTGTTGCATCCCAGTGCCTCTTTAGAAAGATTGCTCCTGACTTATGACAAGGCTTTTTTATTATTCTGATATTTACCTCAAGTAAATCAATTGTGATTTAAGGGAATGTATTTGAGCAACAAATTAGCTGCATAGGATGCTGGAATGTAATTTTGCATATATGCATATAGATATGTGTGTATATATATTTTTATATATATATATATAAAATTTTGTATATATATAATTTTATAATGGATGCAGAATGAAATAAGAGTCTTTGGGGAAATGAAATATGGATATGTTTTCAATGCACACAGGTGCTGGGCTGGTGTTTGTTTCAAGTTTTGTGAGTTAAGTGCAATTGCTTGCTCTGTCTGATAGAGAGAGGTGGGACAACTTGGTTCACCAAATTATGCAGGTGGAGGGTTAGAGTAGGAGTGARCTTGAGATACATGGACCTGGGGAACATAGTGGAAAGTTTGATTTTTGCCAGTAGGTCCTTTGTTACACTTGTTAATATTTAATAAAAAAATTCATTTAATGTTTAGGTATCTTTAGAAACTCCTCCATTGTAATGGAATATACAGGGGTGGGATGATCCTGGCAATACAAATGCTGGAGCTGCAGAACAGATGTGCCAGGCTGCTTCCTGTTCAAGGCAGGAGAAACTTGGTTTGTTTTCATTTCAATCAGTTACACTAAAGAAAAAGAAAAAGGAGAGGGAGCAAGGGAAGAAATAATCTTGATGATCAGCATGGGAGGTGGTCGAGTCTTCTGAAGATTTTCCTGTTTCTTCATCATACATGCAGAGGAAGCTAGTAACTGCTTCTATGAAAAGGTGTGCCATGGCCCAGATGGGAATCTGCTAGAAAGAAAACTGCATTTTTCACCTACATTGATGTCACTTGCAGAGGGATGAAGACAAACTGAAAGGCCTATTGTGATATTTCAAACCACATACATCACAATAGCATGATGACCTCTATTCATGCATTCATATGGTTGTGCATTTCAGAGGAAATTGGTGCATTACTGACTAACTTGTTGAGCAGCTTGATTAATTGCTGCGGCTGCCAATTTACAGTGTGTCCCTCTTGCTCTTAGGATAAAGAAACAAGCCTTTTCTTCCCCATACACTCTCTTGCCCTTTTCGCTTTTGTGAAGCCCTTTAACCAAAATGAACAAATGTCCTGCCAAGTGACATTTAGTGGCTTTGGTGGAAGCTTTTATTGACTTAGGGCCGACATATTCTGTTTATTATGTGAGTGAATGCAATGGGTGGTTTTCCCCAGTGATTAACCAAGTGACATAATATTAAAGAAAAATCACACAGTACATGATAGCTAGAGAAATACTGTTTTGAAGGAGAAATTTTTCTAGATAAGTTATAGCATTTGCTCTTTTATGTCTCCCTAAGCATTGAGAAAGAATGTTTTTTTTTTTTCAAAGATGTGAAGTGTTCCTAGGATGCTCATTCTTTTTCCTCCCTCTACCCCATATATATATTTCTAGGGCTAGCATTTCTTCTCATCCTCCATCTCAAAGTGTGAACTTGCAGTGTTACTTCAGGCTGTGGTAAGAGTCTAAGCAGCTGTCTCAGAGATTGATGTGAATCTTTTTCCAGTTGAATAAATTAGGTATAACTACAATTCCTGCTCTCTTCTCCCTCTCCCCTGCCTCTAAATTTAAGTGGCTTGGAGTGAGAGTCCTGAAGTGGATTACAAGGTTTGGCCTTACATGGCTGCTGGGAGTTACTTAGAAATAAATCTGCTGGTTGCTGCACTTTTTTTTACTACTGTAGTTGATTTTGGAAGGTCATGTTCATTTTGAGCATGTACAGAAGTAAAAGCAGGAAGAATAACACCCTCAATTTTTGGGCTGAAGTCATGCACTGGAGATAGCTCAGGGGTGCCTCAGTTTCTGGGCTGCTTTTCCCAGTCAAGCTGCTGGGGCTTCTGTGTTGTGTGGAAAAGGAAACTGTAGAGGAATGAATTCAGTGCAAGTAGCATGGTGTAGATTGAGCTCTGGGTGGTGGAAGCTTGAAGCAAGGGAGCACTTGGGGACACTCCAAGACACAGTGGGAGCCAAGGACTCAAGAGGAAGAGCAGAGACTTTCATGTGTTTGGACTGTCATGGTATTAAAAGCCCACAGGTTCCTTTTCTCAGTGTCTCTCCTTGGAGGCACCAGCTCGAGCTGTTTCTGCGTTACTGCACTGTAAATAATAGGCTTTATGAAACTATGGGAAACCTGGTCTGATGTCGCTGTTGGCCAGACAGCAGACACAAAATAACAGACACAAAGACACACATATACACACACAAAAAGTAAGCCCTTTATTCTGGGACAGGCCTCTTTTATCCACTTTAGCAACCAGTGCATACATTTGTGTCAAACATACATTGGTCAGTGAGGCTATCACTTTCTACTCATCAGCATAGGATTGGTAGGTTTGCAAAAGCTACAGTGTCACCAGTGTTTTCAGTTTGGCCACCTGCATTATCAATTCCACATTCCAATCTCTTTTTCTCAAGGCAGCCAAGGACATGGTGCTTTTCTCCCATGCAGACTGTTAACACTCCCTATAGTCTGACTATGTGAGTGGGGTGTATATAGGGAGTCAAGGGGGGCACTTGTCAGCTCACTAGAGCCATACACTGCAAACAGGCTTCAGTCCCAGCAGTTAAAAGTCAGGTGGTGGGAGTGTGACTGCTTGAGTGCCTCCTGGATGGTCAGCCAGGGAAGTTTCCTTAGTGAGAAACCTGTGCCTTAAGGCACTCAGCTTGCTCTGTGATTCTGGCTGAGGTCTCTCTCAGTCAGGATTTAGCAATAACCTGGTGCTGGAGTTGCAAGAGTAGAAGAATTTTGTTCACAATTCACTGGGTAATTCCTGAAACACCGTTCGGCAGCATGAAAAAAGTATTCAATCCTTGCCACTTGCCAGGATGGAAATAGCAAACATTTTGTCCTGCAGAAAACATGCATGTGCTGTATGTTGTCCCTCTTACACTGTCAGAAAAATTATGTATGGATCCATCTCCTGTGGTCTACCTTGGTGCACTCTCCTTGACTTTCAGGTCACAAATTTGACTATAGATGTTCTGTGGAAACCCAGAGTCTCTCCCTACCTGTCACTGTTCATCCAAGATAGTTAGCAACCAGTCTCATTTGCAYGAACTTGTTGTTCTTGTTTGCTGTTCTGCTAATTTTGTTATCCTCTTCAGTCATCAGGAAGGCTTTATGCCATCCTTTCTGGAGATGGTTATTGTTGTTAGATATTATTATTGGTTCCACCAGCTGCCTGCCTGCAGTCTGTATCTGAGCACTGAACTTCAAGCTGAAGTTGCCACTTTCATTTAAATACTAATAGCCTTTGCCAGCTAGGTCAAATGCTAGTTTATTTTCCAGTTCAAATGTACTCTTTTATTTTTCCTGTCTTCTTGAAATTGTGCAGTTTACCACGTCTGCTTTCTTTTCCTTTGGCTGAGAATTTAGCTCTGAATGGTCACTYAATTCTACTTCTTTGTTTATCTCCAGATCCAGGCCTGTCGTTACCGTGGACATCGCCATTTTCCTGCCCATATCTATCAATATCACAGCTCCACAGTGCCATGATGGTTTGCAGCCAGTGAACTGCCTCAATGTCACAGCATGCTTTCGTTTCAGTGGCAAGCAAGTTCCTGGAGAAATAGGTAAGGTACCTGTGCCAGGTATAGACGGGGGCACAGTAATTGGCTGCCCTAGAGTCAAGGTCTCTCTTTATAGTTAGTAACAGAGCTTCAACGTGGGCCATACAATCCCAGAAAGTCAGAGGCTTGAGAACTCCCTTGGGCATGTTTTTACCTTGTGACGAGACTGACATAATACTGAGGCAATTTCTTCCTCAGTGAAATGTGTCCTTGGGCTTACTGCAAGGATAGAGAATACAGCCTTCTGAGTTCATATTCCCTGTCTACCTCTTGATAACACATTTCTGAATCCATATCCTCTATCAATGTTGTGAGAAAACAAGTGTGATCTGCTCTGGATTAATAGTGTTTGAAAGTCTGCAGGGAGCTCTCGAAACAGGCACGAGAAAATCCTTTTCTGTGCATCAGTTTACCTGTTTGTAAAATTATTAAAGTAGCCCAGTATTTTACTGATTGCAAGAATATCTTCCAGATTAATTTGTCTCTATAAAACACATAGAGTTTCTCAGGTGGACGGAATTGTGTAACGTGTAATTGTGCAAGTCTTTATGTCTTGGCTCTATTAAAAAAGTACTTATGTCTTTTACACCCCAATGTAAAGACTTTACATTGTAAAAGTATTTACACGTGTTGGCTGTTTTATGAAGTGGTATGAGACAGATAGAGCATTTCTCAGTATTTGGGGCTTGGTTTAGTTTTGTTCAAGATGTTTCACCTTTGTCATGCTTTAAGAATGGTAGACGACTTGCATAATGCTGTTCAGGGAAGATGCCTCAGCCTCACAGCATGCTGTGTCTTGACAGTGAGTGTGGTGAGCAGCTAGGGGAAGTACTACATGCTCCTGCTTTGTGCCCTAACCTTTTTAAGCAGCTAGTCAGGAAGGGTGAATTGTATCTGTGTATCCTCACCTGAGCCTGCTGTGGTTCTGTTCTTAAGTAAAAGGAAAAGGCTTCTTGCTACTTCTACCATTCACATGGAGTGAGAGCTACAAGCAGTTTGTTACTGTCACCTGAACAGCTGAAAACAATGCAGTTACTAAATTTAGGATTCCTCTGTATTTCAACAGATTGGTGCAACTTCAGTTTCAGAGACTTCAGTTTCTCTTTTTGCTTCCTGTAAATGATGACTATAAACAGACAAGTATGTGCTTTGATGAAGTGGTTTTTTTTACTACCTACTACTCTGTCATTAAGGAAACACATCTCTGAAGGCTCCCAAGGTGTTAATTCCTCTCTGAAAATCACAAATAGGTTTTCTGAATATCTAGGTATTCTTATGTTCCTGAGGTACTGTTTAAAATGTTTCCATTGCTTTAATTTCATATCTGTGGACCTGTGGCTAGGAAGTATACTACCTTTTTTCCAGTCTAAATATCAGTTTCCCTTGTTTACAAAAGACTTGGCTTCCTGTTCATCATGTCTTGTAAGAGCTGGTCTTACATAAATCCCYCTGTGTCTTCATACAAACTACTTCCCAGGATTTATTGTTTATTGTGGTGAAAGCACATATGCATCTTCTTCGATGACTAGCATCCATCACGTTACAAGGATTTTTTTTGTTATTAAGTAGGTTATATAAAACTTCAACCATTGTCCTTTCATACAATACTTCTAACAAACCTATTTTTCTTGAAAATACTACAGCCAGAGCTATCTGACTGTATAAAACCCCTTCAGGATATGATTTGGATAAAATATATCAAATAAACTTTCCTTTAGTAATCTAGCAGATAGGCCATTTTAATTATGTTGCAATTGAAGAATATCAATTATCAATTAACAAATAATGGAACAATTAATGAACAATTAATGAAACTGTGTGGTTAAGTGTAGGGGAAAAACCCTAAAATATCTGTTACTTCATTGTTATGCAGTTCGGACTTTGAAAAGCATATGGAAATATTAAAATGCTATGCTAAAAGTGTTGGGATTGTCTCACCTTCAGATGTCTGGGGGCATTTTGTTAAATCAGACTGCAAGAACACAGTGCTGATCTAAAATGTCAGTCCCCTAGGGCTTGTCAGTGTGGATTCTCAAGATTACTGCTTACTGGTGCAAAGCTGAGCATTTCTCCAGCTTTTGGGCAGCTGAAATTGGTCATCTACTACATAATGTTTAGAAAATCAAGCTGAACATGTATGCAACATTCTCCTGTGGCAAATGTGTGTCTTCAAGACTTACTTGAATGTGTGGCTATTTTGTTAACTGGAATGGGAAGGAAAGTTGTCTTCATCTAGCACTGCCATGCRCTTCCATGTAAGCATTGCCTGTAAGTATTTTTTTCCTTCTCCTTCTAGTGGTAGTTGCAATACTACTGGTCATGAAACAGCTATCTGAGGATCTGTGTTTGTGGGTACTGCTTGATACTGCATGACAGTACAATTTCCATTAAGTTGTTTCTTTTGGACTATAGTTTTCAGAACTATGAATTTATTGCTGAAATGTTTTTGTCTCAACAAAGAGCCCTGGCCAAGTAAAACATGTGCTCTGCACTTTGTGCCATGCTTTGTCTGACCCTTCACTCTGCCTCAGTGCTTGTTGGAGAGCTGAACATCTAGCTGTTTTCCTCCTGACAGAGACAGCTTCCAGTATGTCTTGGATGTATGAATAATATGGCATTTTAAGTTTTCACTCTATCACCTTGGAATCTTACTTAGACTGTTCCTCCCTCACTTGAGGGGGTCATTGCTTTGTCTCCCTTGGGGTCTCTGTATTGCCAGAAAAGGGAGAGATTAGAGAAAGGCCTTTCCTGTCTTAGCTGAGGTTTCAGCCTGTTCAGACTCTGCACGTCTGGGTGACTGGGACAAGGAGGCTACTGGCATCTCTGTGCCATCAAGTGCTGCTTCTGCATTCAACCCTGAAGGAAAGTGGAAGTAAACTTGTGTCCACAGTCTAAATAATTTTCTCTACAATAATGACAACAGTATTAATAGTGCGTGAGAATCGGGTGAATTTTAGTGGCTATGAAAATGAAGGCATTTGACATTTGACTTGAGTTAAACTGATACATTAGATATCGCTCTAAACTTTCTCCTGTACTCTTCGTTTGATATGTACATCACTTGTGTTTTGTTCTGTTTCTAGGGTAGTCCTCATGTCCCTAATACTGTTGCCTGAAAGACTGGCAAGATTTAGTGTCATTTAATAGGTTGTTTGATATTTTCACTGTTGGAACATGTTCGTGGGACCGAAGAAACATGCCTAAGCCAAAACTTTTCAAAAGTGGACTCTCATCTTCTTACCTGTATGCAGCTGTAGTTTGGTGCAGCGATATTATTTCTGTCTGTTTCTTATTTTTCCAGTCTGTTCAGAGACAGGCATGAGTCAGTGCTATCCTCAGAATGCCTCAGAAGCAGACATGCTTCAGGGATGTGTTGTTCAGTTTATGGAGAAGTGTGGATTGCTCCCTTCTAAGACCCAGGGACAGCACTGTGGGATATGATTTAAAACAAGGTGTGAAGTACTGGGGAAAAGAAAGCTTTTTGGACAAGGATTGAGAGAATGTCCTATATGTTCTTGTTTGCTAGCAGATTTTTTTTATGCTTTCATTACTTAAGAATTCTCTTTGCAAACAAAGTTCATGAATCACTTTCTCCTCGTAATTACTTGCAGAGACAGCCAAGAAGTACATTCCTTTTCCAATGGCTTTTAGTTATTATTTAGTCCGTTCTTCGTTTTTTCCGTGTGGTGCCTCCCACTTAACCCCTCTGCAAATCAGTACTATAGTACTATAGTTCAACAAGCACTTACAGATGTGCTTATTCCTGATGAACATTTTGCCTCCTGGTGTTTATATGTTGTGTTATTGTCTGAGTGGATGAGGAAGAGACATTTCAAGTTGTTCAGAGTGTGTAAACCGCTCCATTAGCGCAGCCAGCAGTCATTTTTGTTTTAAGCTTATGGGATACCATGGCCTCATCTTAATCTCTTCTCACTCCTTGCTGCTTCAGGGGTGCCTTCAGCCCTATATGGGGATGACATTGTAAGTATGTACGTACCCTTTAGGATGAAAATCCATTATGAAATGCCTGCTGCCATTTGCTTGGTGCATCTCTTACTAGCTGGAATAGTTCACCTGGTCTGCTGAGTGCCAGCCCCCTTGAAGGTATGAACAAAAATTTCTCAGAGGGAGTCATCATTAAAGCTTTTAGGCATTTAACTTCAGTTATGGAAAAGGAGTAGTCATTAGAAGAATTTGGCCCTTCTGAACTCATCAAATCCATGCCAGAGTTTTATTTTTGTGTGAAGTTGGGTGGGTAGATCCCCAGTAAAAAGTGAGAAAACTTGCTTAACGCTGCTGGACAATGTTTGAAGGCATTACTTGGAAGAGTTAATTTGCTAGTGAAAACTTGCCTTCTGATCTCCTACTGGAATGAGCAGGAGGAACTTAGACCACCAGCTATGATAAGTTTGACCAGTTATCTCCCCAACTCCCCACCACTCCTAGTTGCTTTTTGGAAGCAACAAAGCTGGTGGGGGGGAAGGGGGGGAAGTAGGCTATCGTTAAGGTATGAATGCTAAGATGACTGCAAATCACAGAAAACAATTGTCAGGAAGTGCCACATCCTGGTTGACATTGGTGTGGTTTGTGCTGTTTTAGAAGGAAACGAAGTTTGAGGTTGCTGTTGTTGCTTGTGCTGTGTTTTTACTTCTTCTATTAGGAACATAGTTTAAGCATCTTCTGAGTTTTTGCAGGTTTCTTTTTGTTGTTGTTGTTGTTGTTGTTGTTGTTGTTGTTGTTTGGTTTTGTGGGGTTGACAGAGACCAGTCTGATTCTTATTCATGCCTCAACATATGTTCCACAAGGTAAAAAAATGGCTTCCGGGAGTAGTGTGCTTGCAGGGAGCCTTGTCCCTCAGGAGGCTTTGCCTGGCAGCCAGTCACAGGAGAGACAGCTTCCCCCACTGCGCTGCAAGCACCCTGCCCCCACCCTGTTGGTGGGCAGATGCCCGGATGCCCGGGAAAACAGCTCGCGGAGAAAGCGTGCGAAAAAACCACGCGGGAAATAGGAGGGCGAGGCATATAAAAGCAGCTAACTGCAACACAACTGGGGGCCATTTTCCTTTGGAGTTGTTGGAGGTAGCGGGGGCCCGCCTTGAGGGTCACCTTGGCCTTCCCCCGCTCTCTCGCTTTTCCTTTTCTCCCTGTGGTCCTGCCTTCCCTGTCCACACCTGTCCTGTCCGTGTGCTCTGTTTCGCCGCTTCCCTGAGGCAGCTCGACACTGTGACAACCTCGTGTTTGCTGTTTTCCTGACGGAGCCGCYGCCTGCAGCAGCCGCTGTCGTGGGTCCCGCAGCCCCAGCCTGCCCACAGCAGCCGCAGCTATCTCACGAGTGTGCCCGTAGCCACGGCACCGTGTTCTCCGCCGGTGGTAGGGACACGCAGCCATTGCTGTTTGGAAATCGCGCCCAGCCGTCTCAGGAGCCGCGCAGGCTCCTCGCGGTTCGCAGCACACACGCTCCTTCTGCCAACGTCGACGGGGTGCCCGGGGTACAGCGGTAACAATCTGTCTGCTATTCTGTCTCTCTCCGTTTCTCCTTTTTCCTCTTTTCTATCCTCCCTTGGTAGGAAGTGGTCRGAACTCTTACCCTTCTTTATCAATAAACAGTTCTCAGATATAGTATTTCCGTGTTTGCGCTTCATTTTTTGTCCAAGAAATCTATTAAAAGAATCCTCCCCGACTCCCTCTTTCCAAGCGGGATCGGACAGGGGTTTTTGTGTGTTAAGTTGTATACGTCTAGATGTGTTAGACATAATTTCATATSGGAAAGGATAGGCTGGGAATAATAGCAACACTGAATGTGGGAGTGTGTTAGTAATTGAATCTGGTTTTGTGTAGCCACAGGGAACTTAGTGATTGATTGAGGGCCCAAAAAGGTTGACCTTTGTTCAAGCACAGATGCCCCTGAGGCAACAGGATCCATTGATAGATGGCTAGAAAATAACTATTGTTCACTGACATTCTTTGTTTTCTTCTTATTCTTCCTTTTTAAAACAGGTTTGAATTACAACTTAACTGCTGATGTGGCAAAGAAGGAAAAGAGCCAGCAACCCAGAGTTTATTTTGTAGCTTCTGGAGAGACATCAGGGCAGATCACAGAAAAATTACAACTGTCATACATGCAGGAGAAGTGTGAGCATTACCTCGCATATGTCAAGGTCAGTTCACTCCAGTCCTTCCTTACTTTGGTCTTACTGCATTCCTTAACAAAAATTATTCAGCTAATCAAAGTGGTGCTGCATTGGTTCCAGATGTTTGATTTCCTGATAGGTAGAAGCTCAGAACGTCTTGCTTGTCATGATTCGTCAGTCTGAGCACTATCAGACCTTCCAGACCTGGTGCCAGGAAAATACATTTTATTTATGTTTGATCAGGCAGATCTTCTTTCTTCTGTTGCCTTGGTTTGTTGTTACAAGTATTATTCCTAAGGAGACAATTTCTTGTTTTGGTATGAACAGCAGGTTTTAGTGTTTAGTTTTTTTTAAGGTCTGGCTGCACAAAGAGCTTGTGATACAAWCTGCATGGGAATGGCAGGATAATATGAGGTCTGCAATGAAGCACTTGGGCTCTTGGATTTGAAGAACCCTGTGGATTTCATCTGGGCTTGAAAGCAGCAGTGAGATAACTGAAATTCACATGTGCCATGGTCCTAGGGATACTGAGAGTGCTTTCCAGACTGAGACATAGAAAGTCTCTTGTTTCTTCTGATAGACTCTTCATCTAGAGCTTGCTGGGACTATAGTTACCCTTATTTGGCAGCTGTTGAAGAAATGTCACACCGATGCATTCTGTTTTCTGAATAAGCACAGTAATTTTCTTCTACATTGAAAATCTATAGAATGGATTTTAAAATCACATAGGAAGGACATTTATCTTTTAAATAACATTTCTTACAAATGCTAATCTTTATCACCAGTCCTTACATATTCTCCTTACTGAGAGACTTATTCCCATAGATGAGTGTGACCTAAATTTGATGGATATCACTTGACACTTTCTTGTTTTGAGAATACAGCACATCCAGATTTTTCTAAATTTATAAACTTTTCCAGAAAGCTTTTTTGTACCTAAAAATTGAGAGAATGTGAGATAAAATTAATCCTTTGACTCTTACCAACATTTTGTGTATGGCTGTTGAGAGAAAAGAAAATAAATAAAGACACCCAGGAGGAAATGCTGTCTAGTCAAATTTTGTGGATCTCTGGGAAGAGGCTACATATCTTCCACATTTTTTTTGTTTCTGGAACAACCATTGCTCTGTGCTGTGGATAAGCTTGTTAAAGAAAGTGTAGGCCTGTAAGATTACCTTTACTTAGAAACATCTCTGGATTTACTAATACTGGTCTTTCTCCAGTGAGCACATCTGGTTAGACTTCAATTTATTGAGTTTGGATCAAAAGGAGCCATATGCCTATCTTAACCCAATAATGATTTCTTTCACACTAGCTCTTGTAGTTTTTGGATACTACACAGAATTCATGAAAGAACAACATATGCCCAAGAAACTCTTTAAAAATTATTGTAACTCTTTTAAATTATTTCTATTTAATTGTGGGATGGCAAAGGTAAAAACTGTTCTTCTGGAAAATTCCTGGGAAACTGCATTTTTATAGGCAAGAGAAACATTTAAACATGTTTAAAAATAGCAACAACTTGAAGCAAAACAAGGCTACTAGCCTTCTATGTGATATGAGCAGCCATTTTTCACTGTTGAAAGACTAGTGGGAAATGTTTGTTCTTGGAAGAGAAAATGCAAAGTAGTGGAGGAACATAATCCATGTGCTGTCCTGGAAAAGGTGATGTGATCCACAAGTTATATGACATTAGAAGCATCTAAGAGAGTTCTGCACACTCTGAAGGAGTGGAAATGGGGTCATGATCACTGCTATCCTTAAGTAACAGCTAGTAAAATAAACCCCCTGAAAAGAAACAAACTCCCCTCCTCCACAAACTCCAATTGGAGTTCTCCTTAATTGCATATATTTTTGATGGAATGGGTGATAAAAATATGTGGGCTTAAAAAATACAAATATTTCACTTAGGCTTCCCTTTTTCCTTTTATTTACTATATGCCTGAAGAGTTCTTCTCCATGGCAAATTATGTTGTTTGTAGTTGCAGCCTTAATACATTCTCTTTATTATTGTCTATTGGTGTCACTGGTCACACAATGGTTTGCCTGGCATGAGGAAGGTCTATTCTGGACGATTATCCTGTAATCAAGGATAGAGAAGCTGTTTGGACTTGTATGTAACCTCATGTGCTGACTTGACAAACTCTGCTAGGTGCACAAGGTCTCCAGTCCAAATGAAACACAGGAGAGCTCTGTGGGTTAAGTTAGTTAAATGAAAGCCTGTTCCAGGCCTTGCTGGATGACACTCTCTTATCAACCTAGTATGCTGTAGGCACAAAATGGAAGGACTGAGAAAAGTAATTGAAAAAAAAAAGATCTCTACAAGCTGCTTGCAATTTCTGATAGGTTTGATGTCAAGAAACTGTAGCACTAAAAGAGTTGCAGTCTGCAAAAAAACTGACATTTGTTTTGCAATTGATAAATGTCCATGTTTTGAGCATGACTCATTTCCTATTTGTGATTCTCTTTCAGGACAGTAGCTACTTTTCTTATTGCTGCTACTGAATTTGACTATTAAAGTCTATGTTTCCTCATATCCGTGTGACTAAGTGGATCTCAGAAGGTTTGAGGATCTTCATCTTGTACAGGGCAGGCTGCCAAATTACAGCTCAAGTTGCTGGAATTATGATAGTTCATGAGAAAACAAGGTTTTCTGGTTGAGTACAGAGGATGAAATGGAAACAATTTGGGACTTCAAAATGCATTGCATTTGGTTTTGTATAGGGCATAGAGTTCTAAAGGAGTAATAATACAGTTTTATGAGTCTTGCATACTYCTGTTTTAAAATTGCCTAACTTCACTGGAACCTTTTTGATTACTAATTAAGAACATTTCTTTAGCATATATAGATAATAAAACCAATACTGGCAGAGCCTCAGGTGTCATCTCCAAAAGCTGTATTGTTTTAATTTAAACAACTTTTGAAGATTTGACTGATACCTTCAGTAGAAAACGTCTATTAGTTGAAAAGTTCTGGAGCACCACTGGGTCTCATGTCAATGCATAGCTGATCCCTTCTGTCTCTCAGGAGGTGCTTCATTGCTGGACCATTCCTATTCCAACTCTCTGAGGATGATGGTGCTGCCACTAAAGATCTTTTCTGCTTCCATGGTAATAAAAGTATTAAGAGCAGATGAGTACCTTATGTGACAACCATCTTTCAGTTTTGCTGCAGTAAAAAGAAGCAAAGTTTAAATCTGATTAACTTTCCTTTCTTTCGTTAAAGGATTTGGGTTTTGTTGGTATAAGGAATGGTGAGAAAATGGAATGTGGTACTAAGAGGAAAATAAGCAGAGTTTGCAGAAGGAGATAGAATCAGAAAAGTCTAAGAAAACAAATGGGGTTTGAGGCTTTAGAAGTGTTTCCTTAATATCTGGCCCTGCAGCTGAAATGTAGAATTTTCTCTTGGAAACTGCACTCTTTTGGTGGTGTTCAAAAGACTGGGGCTACGGACTTAAGAGGCTCTGTGACCAAGGGAATGACTCTGAGGWAACATTGTTTTCCTTTTCCAGTAACTGCTCTGGTTGTTTCCTGTTTGTGTGGACTCTGCTAATATTTAGCTTTATCAGTGTATAGGCTATAGCCAATTTTATAAAGACACCAAAGTACATTGTGCCTGCGGATTTATGCAGGATCAAAACATATCTTCCTTGATTTATCACGAAGGTGTAATGGTGATAATGTTGAAAGCCCCTTGAAGAATTCCTTACTTATTAAAGAAGCACTGTCTGGCTTCTTGCCCCACTGTAGACTAGCGAGCTGGGCTGCCTATTGCTACCAATCACCACTGTGTGCAGACTGAATGCTCTAATGGCTGTGAACACCATCAGCAGTGCTGGCAAATGACTAAACTAGATATAGCACTTACATTTTCCAGAAATCTTTTTCTTGGTGACTCTATGGTTGTTCCAAGCAGTTTCATGTAAGTCATAATGTAATTCTTAATGGATCCAGACATMGCTTATGGGAAGGTTGGGGCTGAGAAGTAACAGACTTTGCATAAAGGTGTGTGAGAAGCTCGTGTTTGTGCAGACAGGTTTGGAATAAAACAGTGTTTTATTTCGACAGAAATTGCACAGTGCTTTATTCATTGCTGAGTTCTGTAGCCAAAAATTTGCAGTTTTATTGGTATGTTTCTGGTCTTTGTCTGCCATGTATCACTGTTGCTTTTAAAGATACTCTGAGCTGCTGATCTCACACGAACTTCATCTTTAGTGCTCACCAGTTTCAGTTAAGGTCTGTGGTCATGTTTGTTTCTCCCTTTATAGCTGTTTGATCTCATCTGAGTGGGTTGCATGTATTAAGTCTTTTTGATTTATAATACTCTAGATTTTTTCTAGAAGGTGGGTAGCAAAGCATTTGTTCTCAGTCATGTGTGAATGTAGAGATGGTACCACCTTAATCTATACTTCCCTCTGAGAGTTGTCTGCTTGTGAATTAATATCTCTATATAAAGGTTTGGCTGGTGGTATTATAGGATAGAGATAATACTTGAAGCTGAGACTGCCTTCCCAGCAGCAACAACTATGAAAACTTGGTCATGATCATCTAGATTTTCACAGCATTTGAACCACTTGGCAGACAAAGGGAATGCTGAACTGTTTGAGCCTGTACCATCATCTTTTTGATCAGCAGCAAAACCATACCAACTGTAACTAACCTGTTGCTTATGTAAGTGCTGGTGGGTATGTTGGGGTCAGGGTAACATGACAGAGTATGCACCTTTCCTCAATTTCTGGACCTTAGGAGTTCAAGATTAATTTAGCTGCATACCTGAAGTTATGTAGTGAGTACCTCTTTATGAGAGAAAGGGAGAAAACGCATTTTGTGCCAATAAGCTCTATGCCTGCAACTTATTATTCCCACATTTCTTCAAACACACAGACAGGTACTTTTGGTATGAACTAGGGCCCTGGATTGGCATTATGTGTTGCCACCCAAACCAAATACACCCTATGTAAGAGTCTCCTAGGAGACTCAGTTCTAACTAAGAGGAGGTTATAGGTTTGGAACATACCTAGAAGCCA